GAAGACACGGACGTGAGCAAGGCATCCCTAGACGTGGAACGCTGACGCGTCACCAGGAGACCCAGTCCAAAGACGGGTCGGCGAAACCTGCGGCTGCTAGGGGTGCGGCCACAGGTTAAGCTGGTGAGAAGCGTACCGCACAGCGAACGGCCACAGAAAATGGGGTGCACCGGCATGGACTATGGAGGTGCGAGCGACCTCCATGACCAAACCGATGCGTCGCTCAGCGACCCCATTCTGCTGTGGGGAGTCCGGTAGGGTGAACGTCTGGGTAATGCCCTCCGCACGACAGAAGCGACCAAGGACACCTGAGGCAAACTCGCCAACACGGTCGGAGTGAAGGCGCAAGACAGGGAGACCTCGGTGGACACGGGCAGGGACAAGCCAGGGGATGAGAGCGGCAGGCACGTCGGCCTTCTGCTCTAGTGGAAAGACCGAGGTGTAGCGAGTGAAGTCGTCGACAAGCACAAGGAAGTAGCGCTCTCGACGCGGCCCATGGACGGGGGCGGGGCCCCAGACGTCCATGTGCAGGGTCTGCAGAGGCGCGGCGGTAGGGGGAAACGAGGAGGAGTGAGGGGCACGGCGAAGCCGACCCTCGACGCAAGGCGTGCAAGGTGGGGCTGGGGAGGAGGGAAAAGTGGGGAGAGAACCAGGGAGACCAAGGACGAGACCGTGCTGTGACATGTGATGCAGACGCGGGAGCGCAGGGTGACCTAGGTGGTGGTGCCAAAGGAGAGTCGGGTGAGTGAGGGACCGACAGGAGCAGGCAGCAGCAACCTGGGTAGACGCAGCCACCTGAGGGGGCGCCCCATCCGGGGGGGTCACGGTGTCCAGAGTAAACAGGCCGGACACCGGGTCCCGGGGGAACGTGGACAGGGGGGCACCAGTGGCGGCCTCGGTACAGACAGCATACCGCTCGTTACCAGGGAACGTAGTGGTGACGCCAAGGTCCTGGAGGCAGCCGACACCAACTAGGTTCCTGGAGAAAGAGGGGATATGCAGACCTGTAAGAGAGCCCGAAGGAACCACCGGACAGGGAAGGGTGGTGGAACTGCGGGCGACTACTGGACCGCTGGAGGGGTCAGCAAGAGAAACGGCAGCAGGAACAGGAAGCGGCGTCAGTGTAGTAGTCCAAGGTGAAGGAAAGCGAAGCAGTGGCGTCCGGCGACGGGGCGACGGCGGAAGCACCAAGGCTAAACAAAGCAGGGGATCCTACGCCTCACGCAGCAGGGGAGGCTAAGCTAGGCACACCTACACTAGATGACAGTGAGTAATAAGCGGGAAGCGCACTTGAGTCATCAGCATACATCACATGCTGAGCAGAAACAATGGCATCCATGTCCATGTCAAAAATCTGAATCCTACGACTAAGCAAACTGTGCCAGTCCGGAAGGTCTGGCGACGGGCCGAAGCGCTGACGAAACAGATCGTCCAGGCGACGAAAACAGCGGGGAGTGGTATGATCGAGCTTACCGCAAACGAAGCCACGGCGAGGACTGGTCTGGATCTGGTACTGACAACGCACGCCTCCCGAACCACCACTCGGCACACCACCACGCGCCCGACCACCTCCAGCGCCAGGCCACCCGGGCGGGGGGACACTCGCCTGCCTCGTCTGCAGCGGATGCTGCGGCTGCTGCGGAGGCTGCGGCTGCTGCGATTGCTGCGGCTGCTGCTGCGACTGCGGAGGTGGCGGCTCAGCTGGACTGGGCAGGGTCCCCTCGTCCGCTCCAGCACCAGACGACCCGACTCCACCACCACCCCCTCCTGCACCCCCGCCTCCTCCGCCGCGCCCAGCCTTGGGCCGGCGGCCCTTCCCCGAGCGAAACTGCGTTGCAGCAGCAGTCTCAGCCACAGCGACAGAACCGTCGGAGAAGGTACACTGAGCGGGGGCACAACCCTGAAAGATAGGGACCGGCATGGTACCGCTCGCTTGGGCGATGGAGCGGTGGCGGGTCTCAATAACAGTTTGGGTGTCTACAAAGTCGGTGAGGGTGAGCTCACCGGGGTGAATGCTAAGGAAGCGGTCGCGGGCGGCGGCAAAGCGGTCAGGGTGGCGGGTGGCAAGCAGGTAGAGGGTAGAGGTAATGGGCGGGTGGTGGGCTCTAAGCTGTGCGTCAGTGCAGGCAGCGCGCCAGGTCTCATCTATCGAGCGCAGGTGGGCAGCTAGGTCAGAGACAATGGGGAAAGACGCAAGGTCGGGAAAGAGCATCGGGAGGATCAGGCGACCCACCGAGGCAGCAGGAGGGGTGGAATAGCGCTTGATGACAGCATCTAAGTAACCCTGGGCGGTAGTGATGGACCTAAAGCGAGGGCGTTCGGACGGGGGAAGGGCATTGCTAATGGCAAGCTTAGCGACAGCGTCTTGGGAAAGCCAGACAGAGCGCGCAAGGGCAGTGGCTGCAGTAGACTCGCGCTCAGCGGGTGTGGGGTCAGCAGGCAGAACAGCAGTCGGGTCTGGACAGGGGAGCGTACCGTCAAGGTGTGCGGAAAGCGGGTGGCCATCCTGCCGATGGCCAGTGAGGTGGCGACGGAGGTCGGCGAGCCACTCCTCAAAATCCAGGGGCTGGCCTTCTGCGTCGAAGCGAAGCTCTGCCGACATCAGGAGCAGTGCAGGACTGTACAGTGCGGTGCAACGCGGTGCAGCGCGATGCAGTGCGGTGCAGGGCGGTGCAGTGCGGTGGAGGACGGTACTGTGCAGTGCAGTGCGGTGCAGTGCAGTGCGGTGCAGGGCGGTGCAGTGTGGTGCAGGGATAGGGAACCGTACCAGGGAGGATGCAGGGCCGGGGTAGGGACGACGAGCGGGCCGCACACAGCTCAGGGCAGGACGAGCGCGGGGGCCAGAAGCAGCGGGCACCAGGTCGACGGGACGGGCACGGGGCCGGCTGGGACGGGCGCAGGGGCCGAGCAGACAGGCGCGGAGGTCGCAAGGGCGGGCGCGGGGCCGGCTGGGACGGGCGCAAGTCAGGAGCGGCGGGGCCAGGCAGGCGCAGCGGGGCCAGGCAGGCGCGGCGGGGGCCAGGCAGGCGCGGCGGAGCCAGGCAGGCGCGACGGGGCCAGGCAGGGCGCGACGGGGCTGGGCAGGGCGCGACGGGGCCAGGCAGGCATGGCGGGGCCAGGCAGGCGCGGAGGGGCCAGGCAGACGCGATGGGGACAGGCAGGGCGCAACGGGGCTAGGCAGGGCGCGACGGGGCCAGGCAGGCGCGACGGGGCCAGGCAGGGCGCGACGGGGCCGAGCGAGCGCGACGGGGCCAGGCAGGGCGCGACGGGGCTAAAAGGCGTGACGGGGCCCAGAAGGGGCGCGACGGGGCCCAGAAGGGGCGTGACGGGGCCAGGGGGGCGCGACGGGGCTAGGGGTGGCGCGACGGGGCCAGGAGGCGCGGCAGGGCCCAGGAGGGGCGCGACAGGGCTAGGAGGCGCGACGGGGCCCAGGGGGAAGCGGCGGGGCCTAGCTAGGGTACGGGCGGAAGCGGTAGGTGGGGGATCCTAACCTACGCGTGATACCCAGGGCTCAAATTAGCCGGGTAAAATGCCCTGATTGCCCTGATTTTTCAGGGCATTTTTTCATTTGGTCTTAAAAATCAGACTTACGAAATTTATTACCCTGATCCAAAAAGTGTTACGAAAATATTACCCTGCCGAAACTAGGGTTGCGGGGCCCCGAACCCTGACCCTTCAGGGCGTCCTGAAAACTACCCTGGTATCGAAACTCCGAGATTCCGACTAAGTCCTTGGCGGCCAGAAACATTTCCCCCAAAACACCCTGCAACCAAAAATTTCGACGAAGTCCCTGGCAGCCAGAGTCATTCCTCCCACCCCACGCACCATGCAAGCCAGCAATTTCGGCTAAGTCGTAGCCAGAGTCATAGCTCCCTCACCCCCTCGCAACCCAGAAATGGCTAAGTCCCCCACAAGAGACATGCCTCCCAACCACACCCCCGCTACCTTTTTTTTTTTCGCTAAGTCCTCCACACCACAGCAAGACACGTCACGTCGTATACGCCCTTCTGACACCCAACCAATCACGAGCAGATGGTTTTTTTCCCGCCCCTCTGCCGCCCATGTAAATCTGATTCCCCTCTCGCGCCCCAGAATCGTTTTCCGTCCCATCCCATCCCCCAATCTCCCCCAACACGCGCAAATCCGCTACACCCTTCTTTCCACACCTCAGTGCAGCCCACTTCATTCATGTAAAATGTTCCTTAAATGGCCAAGGCTAGAAAGGGTGCAAAGAGTTCTACACTTGAAGCAAAGACTTCGAATTTTTTTACCCTGCCAAATCAGACTTAGAATTTTTTTAGCTCTGACCGTCAGGGCATTTTTTTTTTCCTACTCTGATCTCAAAGAGTGGCCTAAAACCAATTTTGGGCCCTGGTGATACCATATCAAAGTGAGAACTGAATGATGAGTAGAGAGAGAGTACAGGTGAATATACCTAAGTGTTGTACCCTCTAAGAGGTGGCCCTATACAGTCTATGCAAACATAGGAGATACACATGTTTGACACCCTGAGCGATCAGCGTGCCCCAAAACGAATCTGAGGCCCTGATTCACAGGGTGGAAAATGACCTTAAACTGAATTTTCAGGATTGACCCCTAACAAGCATCCTGAAAATCATGAATTCATGATAAAACATCCTGATATCTGAGGGGCTGATGGTAAGGTTCGGGAAAGAGATCGAAGGGTCTCGAAGTGACGAAGCGAGGCCCAGAGAACTCCCGAAGGTCGAACTAGCAGGTCTGGAGAAGCCGAGGCGGTTCTGTCAGAAAGGTCTGGAACAGTCCCGAGGCCTCGGGTGTGTTCGAGCGTACGCGATAGCAGTACCGCTCGGTAAGGAATGGAAAATTCCTTACACGTCCATGATGTGTTACGCCCAGAAATAACAGAGAAGCATTGTAAAACATCTAGGCACAGTACGTTATGGCATAGGATCAAATTACTATTTGTACCACGCCCAAGATGGGTAAAAGCACAAGCAACGACTACAAGAGGAAATATGGCACTAGGAACGCAAAGAGACGAATGTACTATAAACATTCAAATAATAATCATCAACTAATCAACCACAAACATCAAAGCTTTTTTGTAGCAAAACCTCTAGCTCAGGTGGCAACAAGGTCTACGCGAACAGCCCAACAAGAAGACCACCCCACTGAATGCCACTAGTGCTGTTGGTGGCCAAAAGAGCAAGCGTGGTGCCATCAGCAGCGGCCACGGCAAGGGCAGCCTTGGTTGCTGCGAGCTTCTGTTTGGCAGTGAGCTTAGTGGTTATGGCAGGCTTCTTAGCCGCTGGCTTCTTAACCCCCGGCTTGTTAGCCGCCGGCTTCTGAGCCAGGCCACGCCCGTGCCCTCCATGGTGCCCGTGGCCCCCGGGCCCACCGCGGCCACCCCAGAAGCCACCGGTGGCATTAGCTGGCAGCGTGGCGTTGGCCACGGCACTGAGAATGGCGTCCACTGCGCTGGCTTCGGCGCCCAGCAGCTGTGCCCCCAGCCTAGTCTCCACGCGCGCCTCGCCCCACCACCCGCCCTCGCTGTGCGCCACCCAGCCCGACGTAGCGGGCAGCGAGAGGACCGTGGAGGCGGAGGCGTCACACGCGGCGCCCTGCACTATGGCCAGGCTGTCAGGGGGGCCGCTGGCAACGCCGTGCAGGGATGCATCGTACCACAGGTTGTACTGCCCAGACGCGTTCCTGCTTGGACGGAGACGGTGGAACACAGAGGCGAGGGGCGTGAGAAGTAGGGGCAATGGATATAGAGAAGCCGAGGTTCTTGAAAAGGTTAAAGGCAGTGGGGGGAGGAATAGAGAGCATGTGCTTGTGGGCGGAGCACTGACTTGAAGATGGAGAGACGGAATTGGCCGGTTGAGGAGGTGGCATCAGTGGAGCAGTTGGTCAGAGTTGCGGCCACTCCACCTGCCACACAGCCACGGGGGTCAGTCAACCCGGGGAACACACAAGGCCACGGTGCTATCAGTGCGCGTGTCACACAGGTTCACGGCACAAAAGCCTACGGAGCCCATGGGAGGTGGTGAGCGTGCCAGTGTGTGGCGCATGGCCAGGGAGAGAGCCAGCCTCTTGGCTCCTCTGGTGTCCTGCACGCGAGCGAGCCTCTCACCTGTGAGATTGCCGGTCACCGTTCGGTTGACTGTCCCATTGAACGGCCCAGGCCCGTGCCCACCGCCGCCGCGGCCGCCGCGAGGCCCTCCTCGCCCACCGAACCCGCCGGGACCACCGCCTCCACGATGCGCGGTACCTGCGCACAGCGCGGACAGGCCATGGCCCGCGGGGGGAATATGGCGGTGAGCACACAAAGAAACGCGGCGCTACATGCGTGGACGCGGTGACGCAACTCTCGGTGAAGGTAGTAATGCAAGTTGCGGGTGGCTGGGAGGGGAGCGCCATGCACTGCATTGCTCGAAGGACGCCGCTGGCGCGCACCTGAAGACACGAAGAGCAGCAGCACAACTGTTGCGGCGAGGAGCGAGAGACGAGCCATGACGGGGTGAAGGGAAGCGATGTTGAATGCTTGAGCGAGGTTCTAGATGTTGCGATGACCGCACACACGCTGCTCAATGCTTTATATACCTCGCCCTCAGCGCGACCGTCGCGTTGACGAGTCTAGGAGCTTTGGCCGATTCTGCCGCTCTCTGACACAACGAGCTCGTCGGCTGCTGGAAGGGCGACGCACGAGTTGCTGCGCCATTTGTTGCCGCGTAAAGCGAATTTCGGGCGCGAAACGAATGCGGGTGTCGGTCCACCCTGTCACAGGCGCTGGGCTAGGCAGTTCGATGGGGGAGAGGGGAAAGACTAGTCTTCGGTAGGTGGGAGAGGGGGACAAGAGGGCGAGAGAGGCCTAGCGCCAGCCAATCTGCTCTGCACAGCACTGCTTTCCCTGATTTGTCTGGGTGCGCATGATGGTGCCTGTGACCGACACTTCTTCACCACAAACAGCCCGCACGGGTTGACGAGTCTCCCACCTCAAGCCATGCCGCATCTGGCTGGTGAAATGCTGCACCCCGCCTTGGTTACCCTCATACCACGCCCCATCTGGATCGAATCAGCACGCCGTCGCGAATCGCAGGGAATTCAGTCGCAAAATCAGCGTCAACGCTGGTTACGCATTTCGTAAGCTCGCCAAGCCGAGTCAGAGCGAGTTTCTTTTCGTGCGGCCTGTTGCCTCAGACACCTATGTCAGCGAAGTGAGGTTTTGAAAAGAAGTATCTTGGCTCGATATCGTGGAGCTTATCAATCCACTCTAATATAACAATTTCTGTCTTGCCGTTTTCGAGGAATGAAGTGCGAGGCATGTTATATCGAACATTCTGATCCTGATATGAGGCGCCCGCATCTGGTGGTGTGCATCACCTGCGCCTAGTCAGTCGGGGATTAAATAAGGACGTAAGCACGTTGGTGAGGCGGGGTTTGCACGAGCACGCGCAGCGCCGTGTGGAACCTTCCTGGTAGTCCTCCAAGCGCGTCGTCGGAGTCACCGTGTGAATGGAAGACGCGACGCTAGACGAGCCGTCGCTCCGTGCAGCCGCGCAGGCCAACCCTGCGGACGATGCGGCTCTCGCAGGGCTCGCGCGGCTGGCGCTGGCTCGGCACCAGTGGTCCGACGCCGTTGATGTTCTTCGGGCGGCCGTATCCGCGCGCCCAGACGAGAGCGAGTACCATCTCCTGCTGGTAACGGACCATCTGCTCCCCCGCTCCGCACATCGCCTCGTCTCGCCTTATGCTGCTCGCTCTGAGCCTTCTGATGTGAGAACCCCGTTGCGTCCATCCACACGAGTCTTAATCTCCTCCGTGCCGTCCACCCTCTCCCCGCGATCAGGGCGAGGCGTTGTGGAATTCGGCGGAGGAAGGAGCGGTGGTAGCCGCTAAGCAGGCAGGCGGAGGCGAAGAGGGGGGGGGGAGCGAGGCGCGGGCAGCAGGGCGCGCGGCATCATACGCGGAGTGGCTGCAGGCGGGCAAGCTGAGCCCCAGCAGCGCGGACGCCTTCCGCTGCCTGGGCTACTTCTTTGGCAGCTTTCAAGGGGTCATTCCGCGCAGAGACGCGCGCGGGGCGCAGCAGGCGGATGGGCGGCACGCGGAGGCGTGGTGGGCGGCAGGGGAGCGAAAAAGGGTGCTGAAGGGGGGAGCAGGGGGGGAGGAGGGGCTGGTGCGGGACGTGGGGCGTGCGATCAAGTGCTTCCAGAAGGCCGTTAGCGTGAACCCTGGGGACCACGACGCTGGGGTGAGAGGCACCAACACACAACCATGTCATGCCCACACTTGCACTCGCACCCATACCTCCTCCCCTGTCCGCCGACTCTCTCTCTCACCCCCCACTTCTCATCCCTCCTCCTCCCCCACTTCCCCCCTCCCCTCTCAGGAGGCGGCCTTCCACCTGCTGGCGGGGGGCCGGGCGTCCCCCCGGCAGCGGTCGCTGCAGGTAGCGCTGTGCCGCGCGGCGGTGGAGGGCAGCGTGCGGGCGTTCTGGGCGTGGCGGCTGCTGGGGCTGCTGCACGCGGAGGAGGGCAGCTGGCAGGACGCCGTTCCTTGCCTGCAGTCCGCCATCAAGGGCTTCGTTCTCGACGCGGCCTGCTGGCGGGTACTGCATGCACATGCGCACTTGCACGTGCACACTCCACTCTCCGCCAACACCTCTTACTCGCTCCCGTGCAGACGTGCTGCTTGAATGCTTGCTAAGCTGTGGATGTGCGTGTGCACGTGCACGCCTGCATCTAGTGGATGGGATTATTTCCCATCCCTGAGAACCCAGTATGTCTCCTGCGATGCACAAGCATATGCCGCAGCCATCACCCTGACGCACCTCCTTTCTTCCTCATCCCGTCAGGCCCTTGCCCTGTGCTACCAGCGACTGGGCCGACACTCTGCAGCCCTCAAGGTGCTGTCCCTGCCACGCCACGTGTCTCCCTGCCCTCTCTGTCACGTGTCTGTCTGCTTCTCATTCCTCGGCCTCCTTCCCTCGCCTTCCAACACCCACTGCTCCACCTCGTCCTCTCCCCCCTCTTCCCCCAAAACCCTCTATGCCATTCTGATGCTTCCATCTTCTCCATCCTTCTCTCTCTTCTCCGTGCAGGCCTACGGGCGGGTGATCACCTTGGGACTGCCGCAAGTGGCTAGTGCCATCACTGCCCTCGTTCCGGCCTCTGTCGCTGCCGCCGCTGCTTCCCCCGGTGCTGCTGAGAGGAGCAGCAGTGACACCCCATGCGCCGTGTTCGCATTGGAGCAGAGCGGGCACATTGAGCTGGAGCGCAGTAACTACTCCAAGGTATGCCTGCTCGCACTGCACGCACACACTTTCTTCCCACTCCATGCATCTCCCCTCCCTTTCTCCTTCCACTCCTCCCGCCCGCACTACATGCTCGTGCATCCTCGTCAAGCCCATCTGCCCCTCCCCACCGCTCTCCGCCCTCCCAACACCCCCCTCTCCCTGTTCCCCCCCAGGCGCTGGAGTTCTTTTCTTACGCGCATGCGCAGCGAGCGGGGAGTGCGACGGTGCAGTGGGGCATGGCAGCAGCGCGCTACGGCATGGCTTGCCACGTGGCCTCCTTTGGCGCCGCTGCATGGGCCAACGACCTGCTGCAGGTGAGGTGACCCTGCACCCATGCCGCCCTGCTCCGCTGTGCAAGCATGCTGCATGGCCCTATGCCGCCTTGTCCATCCCCATGCGCCCCTTTTGCCTTATGCCCCATGCGCCCGACCATACCACTACTGGCAGCAGTAGATGGTTGATGCCTTTTCACCTCATGCCGTGCCTGCCTTTCTGACCATACAAAAGGTCCGCTGAGCCCAACAATGTTGCATGTGGCATGCCTGCTGCATGCCATCTCACATTGTTGCTTTTCACATTGCCACGCACCACTTTCACCCTGCACTGAATGTGTTGCCATCCGTCCCCCCCATCCCCCCAGGCTGCGGCTGCCAGTGCCCATGCGTCCATATCACGCCATCCCACTTCCGCAACAACCTGGAAGCTTCTTGGTGACATCGAGGTGTGTAAGTGGAAAGTAAATGCAAAGTGAATGAACAAAGCTACTGTCATCAACTGCACGTCGTCATGTTTGTTTAATACTGCAAAATGTCTGAAGCTGTGTAGTCCTCTGCTCCTCAATTGATCCTTTGTATTAAGACATTGGGTGGCACAAGCATGGCAATGAACAGCACAAGACAGGTGAGACCTAACAACCCAGGCCAGGGGACCTTAAGGGTCCCCCAGCTCTGGTTCTAAGTTCTAACACATGCAGCAGGTCGCCCACGGGGAGTGGGGCTGCTTGGTCTTCCAGGGGCCACTCCTCAGCGGCGAGGGCCTCGTTGATCTTCGTGTTGAGGGCCACAGCTTGGCCCCTCTGCAGAGTCACCGACCATCGCTGGCGGTACTCGTGAAGCAGCTTCGCGGCCTCTCGTGAGGTGGCTGCCCCCTGGTGGTGCTTGTGTGCCGCCAGCTCGGCTCACTGCTTGAGGAAGCCAAAAACGCCGGGCGAGGAGAGGCCGTACGTCTCCGCCGCCATCGCGAAGAAGCCAACCCACTCGGTGCGAGCCGGCGGGCAGTACTTGTTTCTCCCCACCCCCTCTCTCTCCTCCCCCACACTTCTGTTCCCCCCCCCCCATCAGCTGCGTCACTCCTCTGTTCTCCTCGCCACGCCCCCCTCCTCCCCCACCCCCTCCACCGCCCCACCCCCCTCCTACTCGCGCGCCTCTCTCCTGGCGTGGCGCCGCCATCGCTTCCGCCTGGCGTCCTCTGCCCTGCGCTCCTACGCGCACGCCCTGCACCTCTCGCCCCACCCCTCCGCCTGCCCCTCCGCTGACTCTCCCCACCTCTCCCCGTTCCTTCGCGTGGGGATGCCTGAAGTAGGGCTTATGGGGGAGGGAGCAAAGGGCACAGGGGGGAAGGGCGGGGGGAGGCTGTGGGCGGACTTGACACTGGCAGCGGCAGCCAAGGCGAGATCATGGGCGGAGTTGGTAGAAGCGGGGGGAGGGGGGGAGGAGGAGGTGGAGTGTGGGAGTGCGGGTGATGATGGGGAGGACAAGGCAGAGGTGCTGGATGCTGCATCGGTGAAGGAGCTAAGGTTGGGCAATGTCCTGGTGTGGCATGTGGCGGTGCTAGCGTTCACTTGGCAGATGCTCATCAAGCGCACCACGAATGCCATGGTGCCACCGCCCGCTTTGCCTTCCCTCTCCACTTGGCTGTCCCCTCGCACCTCCCTCATCCTCTTTAACTCACCTCACAACTCTTCCTGCACACCCTGCCCATTACTTTCCTTAGCCCCCCTTGCCCCCTCCCCTCCCCCCTTTCCCCTGCTTCCCCCGTCCTTTTCCTCCTCCCCCAGCGCCCTGCCCCCTCGCCTGCTGCTGCCGGCGCTGCAGTCGCAGCAGGGCGCAGCGGGCGCGCATGCATGGGTGGTGCTGGCGGCGGTGGTGGGGTGGCAGTGGCCAGAGGTGCAGCAGCATGCGCTCGTGCACGCGCTTATGCTCCACCCACTGGATGCCCTCGCATGGGTGCTGCTGGGGGAGGTGCGTGCTAGTGCAGCCTCGCATGGGTCTTGAGACTCTTTGTTGCGGATACCTCGTGTGGCAGCTCATGCCGCACATTGTACTTGCACACGCGCCATGACACATGCACAGTACGGTCGCCTGTCGCAGGCACACCCATGTGCCTCGTCCATTCTTGTCTCTGTGTTGCATCCCCTCTCCCACCCCTCCTCCGATTCTTGCGACAGGTATACCTTCACCAGAACCAACCAAACCTTGCCGCACAGGCGTTTGCCCGTGCACGTGTGGCGGACCCTTTCATCGCCGCCCCCTGGGTGGCCTCTGCTGCCCGGCAGCTGCGGTGGCTCATTGCTGCTCCCGCAGTTACTGTGGCGGACAGCAGTGCACCTGATGTTGGCACTGACAGCACTGCTGGCACGGTTGGTGCTGATGGTGATGGCGACAGCAGGTGAGGCGCACCCGTTCCCTGCCGTGCCCCCTCTCCACTACTCCACCTGCCCCTCTGCTCCGCTTCCTCTCTCTCTTCTCCTCAACCACCTGTCCCTCCCTCTGTGCTTGCAACCCTTTTTCCACCCGCGCATCTCCCTGTGCTTGCACCCCCTGCCCCCATCCCCCAGTCCGTCGCTGCATGCAGCCATGGCGGATGCCTTCTTTGCCGCCACTGCATGCTCCAACCCGGTCAGTGCAGGCAGAGGGGGAGGGGGGCAGCCAGGGGGGGGGGGCAGGTGGAGGATGATGGGAGGGAGGTCGGAGGGAGGGGTGGGGAGAAGATCTTTGCTCTTTTGCGTAACACCGTGCCTGGCCTCCAGCACACTCCCTTTCATCATCACCCGTGGTACCCATATCCCTCTTCCCCCCCCTGCTCTCCCCTCCCCCTCTCCTGCCACTCTCTGCGTGCAGCCGGCATGTGCGCAACACGTGTTGGGGCAGCTGTCAGGGCGGTGTGGCAGGCTGGGCCAGGCAGAGGTGCCATGGGGTGGGATGGGGGTGCTTGGGGGGCGACCTTGGTGTGCAACGGGGTGTGTGCATGGGGTGCTTGATTTTGGGAACTTGGAACTTTTCATAGGCTTTTCCACACCACACCCTACCTCTGCCACCTCCCTGAGCATATTGCCGTTGGTTGTCTGCCTTCCGTTCTTGCTGTGCTAACTCCACCGCTTCTTATTCCCCTCACTCTCCATCTTCTACTCACGAGTCTACCTGTGGCAAGTCACCTGATGTGTGACCATGTACTTATCACGCGATCGCCTGCTGCATTCCACCTCACCCACACCCACACCCACATGCCGCCGCACTGCACCCCTCTCCACCGCAGGTGTTCTGTGCACTGTCCCACCTGGCGAGCAGCAGCCCCGCATCCCCTGAGGCCCTCTTCCTGCATGGCCTCTCTGCCTCGGCGCGCCGCCTGCCCTCTGTCGCGCTGCCTGCCTTCCGCTCCGCCAAGCACATGCTGCTGCTGCACCAGGGGCCAGCAGAACGCGTGTGGCTGGCGTCTGTGCATGTGGGCATGGCGCTCACAGCGGTGTGTATGCACTGTGCACGCATGAGACCGTGGGGCCCACTGTCAACTCACCTCTGTCCCTCGTGCCCTCTATGTGCATGGTTGTTGGCAGCATGATGAGTGCATGGCCCATGCACGCATATCCATGGTAGGGCTGGTAGCTCTCATGGTGGGGACTCGCATTTGATGTGAAGGTTCTATCCGTGTGTTTTGCTGCTACTAGTCATGCCATTCATTGAAACATGCTCCCTCATGCATGTGCCATGGCAGGCGCATCAGTTCAGTGAGGCAGTGGTGGAGTTTGACTCCGCTCATGCTCTTCGAGGTACGCCCGCACACCCCTCGCCATTGCTCCACTCTTCCTTCTTCTCCGCCACGCGCTCCTCTCCCTGTCTCCCTCCTTTCCGCTTGCTGTTTCTTCCCTTACCCTGTCTGCTTCCCCCAACCCCTCCTTCCTGTCCTCCCTCTCCCCCCTTGCACAATCTGCCTTTTCCCCAGATCGTTCCACCTGGCCTGTTCGTCCGCTGCTCGCGCTCTCCCTCGCCCTGCACCACTGCATGCGCCAAGACGACGCGCTCTCCATGGTCGCCCTCGCCACCACCCAAGCCACACACCTTGTGGCATCCCCATCTCCCTCGCCCTCCGCCACCTCTCACTCCCTCCTCCCAGCAGCAGCAGTCAGGCTGCACGCTGCTCTCCTCGCCTCGCCCCCCGCTCTCCCCTCCTCCCCGTCCCCTCCCACATCCCTGGCCCCATCTCTCTTCCACTCCCCCTCACTCGCGCGTGACCTGGCGCTGACTCGAGTTGACGTGTCGCTGACAGCGCTGGCGGCGGCAGCAGCGTCGCTGGACGATGGGGAGATAGGGCGCGCAGTGCAGCAGTACCGCCCCGTGTTTGGCGACCCACACATGGCGCCCAGAGCCCATGCCCTGCTGGGCGTCTCTCTCGCTGCCAAGGTGCGCAAGAGGCAGTCTTCCTGGCCACCTTCCTGCTGCCTTCCTGCCCTTGCCACGTGCCACTGGCACTCCTGGCCCATGACATGCCCATGCCCCCACCATCCTCTGCTCCGACTCGTCTCATCACACGTCTGCTCACTCTCTCCCCACTCTCTCCCTCTCCACGCCTCCCCCCCTCACAGGGTCAGCTGTCGCGGGCCCTCAAGTACCTCACTCGCTCGCTGCACCACATTCCCGATAGCCTCCTGCTCAGGTACTCGCCGCGCCACGCACCTTTGCCTGTCTCCCCATTACACGGCTTGGCAACCATGCTCCCTTTAATCTCCCCATCTCCATCTCTATCCCTTCCATCCTTTCCCCCTCCCTCTCTCGTCCCTCCCACCCCTACACCTTACTGGACCGTATGTGCAACAGGTCGTGTCTTGCAGACCTCCTCTCTCCCTCGCACCCCGCTCGAGCTGCGCGCATCATCGCCATGGCGCCCTCGGCCCTGTCCATCCACCCGCCTCCTCCACCTCTCGCTCAACTCACCGCCGCTGCTCCCCCTGATTGCAGCGGCGCTGGCAGTGCGGCATGGGGGGTGGTAGTGAGTGTGGTGCGCGTGCAGGCCAGCACACAGCTAGCGTGCAGCGCATGTGCCTCTGGCATGGCTCACGGCGCAGGGGCGTGCACACGCACCGCACCCTTTCCCACAGTTGCTGCTGGGCCAAGCAGCAGCGGTAGCAGCAGCAGTATAGGTGAGCGTGGTGCAGTGGAGGCCCACGTCTCGCGACAGAGTCAGCTGCGGCTGCTGGCCAGGCAAGTTGGGGGGAGGGAACGGTGGGAGAGGTGTGTGGAGCATGGCACACGCCCTGCTAGTCGCAGCACATGGTTTACGTGCAGGCACATCCTACATAGCATGCTATTTCATCCACATGGCGTGACCCACATTTCAGCCATCTCCATCCCTTTCACCCCCTTCCTCCACTGTCGCCCCTCTTTCGTTGTGCAGGGCCATCCACACTCGCCCAAGCGATCCCACCCTCCGCCTCCTCCTCCTCCGCCTCTCCCTATCCCCGTCATCCCACGTGTCACCCTTCGGTGCTCCCTTGCCGCCACCCTCCTCCCTCTCCACCTCCCTCCTCCGCTTCTCCCACTCCCTCCTCGCGCTCATTCACACCTCCTTCCCCTCAGATTCACCTTCGATTCCCTCTACTCCCTCTGCACCCTCTGCTTCATCTCCCTCTCTCTCTCTCTTCCACCTCGCCTCCGAGAAGGCACCAGCTGCCACGCCACCATTGATGCAAGAGCTCTGGGTGCACGCTCTTTTGTCTGCATCTGAGTGTGCTGCACGCTGCCAGTCTGTTCCAACTTCCACCCTGGACGGCTCACAGCCCGCACACTCTCTCACATATCTCGCGCTCTCTCTCGCATCCCACGCCCTTTCAGAGTGCCTCCTCCTCCCCAATTCACCTCCCTCAGCCAGTCAGAAGGCAGCGCTGCGTGCCTGTGCTGAATGCCAGGTGGTGCGGTGCAAATCGCTGCAAGAAACTCCAGCAGGAGCCTCTTCCCCTTTCCCCGTCTCCTCGAGCTTTCCCCCATCGCTGCTCCCGTCGCTTGCGTCTGCATCGTCTCTCTTCTGTTCTGGTTTCTCCCATGAGGCGGAAGCAGTGGTGGCGGCATTGCAAGCTGACGGAATGCAAGGGGGTCAGGGGCAGCACGGCCAAGAGGAGAGCAGGCTGCTGATCGGGTCAGCCGTGCAGATGTGGCAGGCTGTGATTGGTGCGGAGAAGGGCGAGTTGAGCAAGGCGCGGACTATTCTGGAGGGGTTGGTGGGGTCTCTCAAGGAGGCAGCAGCAGCCGGTGGCATGGCAGGGGCAGCAGTGCAGCCCATGCTAGACGTCGCACACGTTCTCCTAGGTACAGCTGCGAGGGAATGCGTGCTTCTCTCCTTTCGTTTCTTCTTGCTTTTTGCTGCCCAGGAACACTCTCCCATCCTCCCTGGACTCATTAAACACCCCCTTCCTCTGTTGCTTCCACCCCACTTCCCCCAACAGGTTCCGTCCTCCTCTCTCTCCACCACTCCAATCCCTCCGACTCCTCTCTCCCTCTCGCCGCACGTCGCTCCCTCCTCTCAGTCACCTCTCCCTCCTCCTCTATCTTCCCCCACCTCCACCTCCTGCTCTCTTCTGCCGACTCCCTCGCCGCCTCTCGCTCTGCCGCTCCTCGCAAGCGCGCCGCCCACCTGCAGCAGGAGTGGGCGGCATGGCCTTCAGTGTGCCGCCCAGCCCGCGTGCTAGCTGCCCTTGGAGAGGCCCTGGCAGGGCTAGAAGCAGGAGGAGGTGCGCCTGAGACAGGTGCACCTGCCGCTGGGGTTGGGGAAGGGAAGGGGGCAGGGGTAAGGGGAGGTGGGAGGGGAGGAGCAGGAAGGGGTGGGGGGGGGTTGAGGTAGGGGGGCGTGGCGGCGGGGGGCGGACAGGAGGAGGGGCAGCAGGGGATGGCGGAGGAGGTGGTGGTGGTGAGCCCAAGGACAAGAGCGAAGGGGAGGCAGAGAGGGAGAAGATGGGGAGTGGGGCATGTGGTGCGAGGAGCCCTCTGGGGCTGGTGCAGGCAGCAGTGCATGTGGACCCATCATGCAGGCATCACTGGGAGGTGCTGAGGCACTTGAGTCAAGGCAGCTCAGGCAAGGCCGTGCGGGGATGACGTGACGGGTGATGAAGCCAGGGATGTGGCTGGAGAGGGTTGCAGCACAGCAGTGGGGAAGCACTCAAACATGCTGGTGCAGAGCGACCGGCTTCGCGCACAACATGCTTGCTACTCATCTGTGCATACTGAGTGCAATCAGCTGGGGACAATGTTGGCTGTGCAAAAAGACACCCTGGCACCGGAATCTGAAGGGGATTACATACAGTCTCTTGCCGAGGACATTCCATATGGCTGAACACGAACTGCTGTACTGCTAACTTTACTAGTAGAGACACCTGCATATAATACAGGAATATGCAACACAAGCCAGCCTTATTGCACCTAGATAAATTTGACAGCAGCAGCGTCTACAGCCACCCTGCAAGCTCACCTAAGCAAACAGCAGGACAGCTCCAACACTCTGGCTATCTCTGAGTGCAGAGCCTGAGCCCCACGTACAGGCGGTCGTTGGTGCACACATAACCGTCATTCAAATCTGACAGCTTCCTTGCACTGTTCTGGAAGTAGAGCGAGATGATGCGTGCGCACGTGTCGCCCCGCACCACTGTATACGCCTTTACACACGATGCCGCCAGCTGCCGCCGGGAAGACACAGGGCGAGCAGCAAGTGAGGAGGACGGGAGGGGCGAGTGGTCCAATGGTAGGTGCTCCTCCCTGGTCATCCTAGCAGGGGCGAAGGACGCCGGTGTGGCTGTGGTGTACGATGCCGGTGAGGCGCCTCCCACGCAGAGCTGCTGGCCGACGTTCTTCATGCTGGCCCCGGGCAGCAGGGAGGTGAGGGGGAAGAGGTGCTTGCAGCGCAGCCCGGGGTTGAGCGCATAGAGCAGGCGCAGGGAGAGGCTGCTGGACTTGTACTGCTTCACAATGCGCTGGCACGTGTCGCCGTCGCCTACCGTGTGCCACTGCGTGCACCACTTCGTTACCGAGGGGGTGCCCTGCTGCACACACACCTGGGGGTGTGGGGAGAGGAGGGGGGGGGACCGGGGGGTGGGGGTTTAAGGGAAGGAGGTGAGGTGGCGGGTGTGTGGGGCAGGCAGGAGGGGCAGTTGAGTGAGCAGAGGGGCAGTGGGGGAATGGAGCAGTGCCATGGCTGAGGACACGCATGAGGGGCCTTACGGTTAACTGAACGACAATGCAGCAGAGGAGGAGGGGGATGTGCGAGCAAGGCGAGAGGAGGAAGAGCAGCAGGCAAGGTGTGGGGCACACCTGCTGGCTGGCCTGCGGGTAGTTGGCCACGCAGTCAACGCCGGGGTTGAGATTCACAAAGGCCACAAGGCTGATGCCAAAGAACACTGTCACGCCCACACACGTGTCCAGCTGCAGGATAGCAAGGGGAGGGACCAAGTTGACAGATGAAGAGGCAGCCGACTAGACAGTGACATTCACACTTCCTCTCTCAACTGCCACCAGCATGTGTGCACACATGTCTACTGCGAGAACCATCCACCCTACCAACAGCCTGCCACCTTCCCTTGCCTCTCCTCCCCCTACGGTCCCTGCCCCTCCTCTCTCCCCCATGGCTCACCGCTTCCCACGAGTAGAATAGCGCGCATTGAACGACGCCGGATGCGGGGCGAGTAACCTCCACTTGTGTGTTGGCGGGGATGGGGTCGCACAGCGACGGCTGGAGCATGGGCACGCAGACAGAGGCGCAGGCGGAGAAGGGGGGGGACAGAGGCAGGTGGAAAGAAGGGGTTGAGTAAGGGAAGGGGAAGCATAGCGAGGGGAGGCGCACACAAGTCACAGGGAGATGCGGGAAAATCAGGAAGTGTGATAGTGGTGGGGAGGCAGGGCGGCTCACAATGATGTTGTTGCGCTGCGAGGGGTTGAGCGTGAGGAACTGCGCCTTGGAGAGCCCGTTGATGCCGTACACCAGGTCGCATGACACGCTCTTGGGCGGGGTGAAGTACACCGCACCCGATGGGGTGGGGTCTGGCACCAACGAGGAGAGGGAGGAAGGAGGTGGGGGGAAAGGGGTAGAGTGAGAGGGGTTTAGGACAGCAGGCTTTTGGCGGAAGAGAGAAAGGGATAGATGGGTGCAGGCAGAGGGTGTGCAAGAGAGGGCGCACCAGGCACGCAGGTGGGGCTGCCATCAGCCCTGTCGCCGGTGGTGAAGAGAGGCGGGCAGATGCAGAAGTAGCTGCCTGTGTTGTCGTCGATGCACGTGCCACTGCCACACGGGTTCATCTGACCCAGCGAACACTGCTTCTCTGGTGGGCCACACATAGGGAGGGGGGGAGAGAGGGGGGTGGGGACAGAGGAGTGAGGACAAAGAAAAGGTAGAGGATAAAAGTAGGATGAGCATGCAGGCGAGCACAGGCAAGACTAGGAAGGACAGGAAATGGCGATCCATGCGACGGCTGCAGGAGGGCGCAGCTGGCAAGAGGCGGGCAGTGGTGTGGTTGGCAGGGCTAGCGACATGGCGGGGCTTACTTGGCACGCATGTGGGCATGCTGCTGAGCCCAGTGACCGAGACGAAGGTGAGCGGGCACGAGCACGTGTACGATCCGCCCGACCCAGCATTGCACGTGCCTGACCCGCACGGGTTGATGGTGGCACTGCAGGGGCTGGATGCTGCGGGCGACAGCGGGGGAATACGAGATGGGAGACGAGAGCAAGGATGAATGCGGTGGGCGGCAGTGACCAGCATTGGGCTGGGTGAGAGGACAGCAGGCAGGAGATGGTGGATGCTGTGAGCAGACGACAGGGGTCAATTGGAGAGTGCGGAAAGGGGGGGGGGAGTTGAGGACCAGCGGGAGAGAGTGCATGTGGCGTACTTTTTATCACTGGGTAGACGGGCGGCACAGTGTTGATGCCACAGATGCCAGGCCCGCCCGCGATGGCCATGCGCATGTAGCCCTGCCACATGCGAATTCGCAGGGGGGGGGGGGGGGGGGCGGGTGAGAGGGGGAGGAGCTATGGCGGTGAGGCAGAGGGCAGGGGGCAAGGAGACAGCAAGAAGAACGTGGAACACACGATGCGGTATGGGAGGGAGGATGGCAGCTTTTGCAGCGCAAAGTGGCGCGTCGTGGCGCCGGCGAGCAGTGCCTGGGTGTGGGCGCACGAGGCACGGAAGCCTGGAAGGGCGCGTGGCGTGGGGGGCGATGAGAGGGCGCGCTGACCTGCATGCCCCACTTGGTGCCCCAGGAGTTGCGGATGATGAAGTAGGGGCGCGGCATGGCGAGCTTGAACCCCACCACCAGCACGCTGTGGTCCACGATCTCGCCCGCGCACGCACCGTCCGCGTACACGCCCTGCAGTGCACCGCCCACACGAAAGCAAAGGGGGACGAGGGTAAGGAGAGGGGTTTGGGAGGGGAAGGGCGATGGCGGTCAGTGCGGCAGGCATGTGTGTGGGATGAGAGGGCAGAGAGCAGGAGGAGGGATGATATTCGTGATGACGGCGGGCAGACTGCAGAGCAGCGTGGCAATAACGAGGCGGGGACAAAATAGGGACATGACACAGAGAACGTGAGTTGTTGGGTGCCGGCACGGCGGCATGCAAGGAGGGATGCAGTACCGTCTTGTAGGTGAGGAAGGACGGGTGCGAGCCGTGCACGAACGCCACAACGGGCTGCGCCTGCACGGCGAGCACGAGCCCCAGCCACCCCTGGAAGTCCGCCTGCTCCAGCGCCGCCACGCCGATGCTCGACGCGTCGCCTGACACCTGCACGCCGCCGGTCCGTGCGGGGAATTGAGAGACGTGAGAGTGAGAGACGGGATCCACTGTCGCTGGGTGCATCGCAAAGAACAACGCGCGCGGGTGCAAGTCCCACCGCTACCACTCCCGTCGCCTCACTCGCGATCGCCTTGCCTCGCCTCGTCCCACTTGCCAGCCGGCGTCGCCCTCTTCGCTCACCTTGCTGTCGTCGCACGTGCCCTGAGCGCCCGTGTACTCATAGTCCGCTTCCGCCACCACCCCGCCGTCGTCGTCCGTAGCGTCCGCCATGTAGTTTAGCGCCAGCGACGGCCACCCGCCCGCCGTGCACGCCGTTGCCACTCCTGCGCAGTCCACGAGCTGCTGCACCGACACGTTCGCTATGCTGCTGCTGGACGGGTTCTGTATCGCGTACGCCATCTCCACGGACTGCGCGGCCGCCACGGCCCACGAGGACGCTGGCGGGGATTGCGGAAGGGCGAGCGGATAGGCGGGGGGAATGGCGGGTTAGACCAGGAAAAGGGCCCTGCTTCGTGGTTGATAGTACGCGGAATTCACGCAGCGCAAGCCGAGGAGTGCGCGGGAGAATCGGCGCGAGGGGAAGGGGGTGCGCGCGCTCACCGCAGTTGCCTTGGTCGACGACGCCTCTGAGCGACGCGACGCGCGAGTCCTGCGACCAGTCCTTGCCCGCCGGCAGCTGCCACAGCGACAGCGCCAGGCTGAACCCCATCGACGCGAAACGGAAGCGGTGGTCGTTCTGATGCGCCGGGTCAAGCGGAGCCGTGGCGGGATTTGCGCCGAACTTGTAGGGGGGTAGGTGGACCTTCTTAGGCTTCTTGCCTGGGGCAACGTCAGCAAGCGAGGCGACGAAGGAAGAGGAGACGGAGTGCGGAGGTTGTGAATTTGATGGTAAGAAAAGGAGACGGAACGAACGGCTAGCGCAATTGTAGGAAGAAACAGAATGCGAAAGAGGGAAGAGAGCTCACGGCGGAAAAATTGGAAGAATAGGCCAGATGATGGCTCCAGATGGCACATCAGCAGCGCTGCGAGCAGCATAAGCGCTGGTAGTAGACGAGAAATGGATGCGCGTCGTCCACAGGGACGAGAGACGCGCCCGCCGGATTGCCACGCTCGAATCGGCATGTTTGGTGATGTGGTATGATGTATCATGGTGGTGGGAGATGTGTGACTATGTGTAAGTGGAGGAAACAAAGGCTAATGCGCGAGAATGACAGCTGTTTCTATGCGGATCAAATGCAGTTTCATTAGGCAAGCTGTGAGTACTTGCACACAAGACCACGAGTTCGGTTCTATCCTCTTGTTGTGTTAGCACGACAACCAGCACGCAATTCAAAGCAAGCAGGAGCATAAGCGAACGAGCTTTGTAGCACCCGAGCAGGGCTTCAGATTGAAAATTTAGCCACTCGTCATATCCGGGCTACCTGCCAAAGCCACCCGTTAAAGTCTGTTTTCGGCCCCAGTCGTACTCGTCAAACTCCGTTTTCCGGCCAAAATCCCTCGAAACCTACGCTTACAGCCCGTTTTCGTGCCAGACTCGAACCGTTAACCCCCGGGTTCAGAGATGACCGGTAAAAGGAGTTCCGTTGAAAAACAACCCGTTAAAGTATTAAAATCAGAATAATTACCCGTAAAACATAGGCCCTGCACCCGAGCTCCTCGAGCAAACTGATGTCGGTTGATCCGACATTCCAGAAATGCCGTTGCGCAAATCCGCGATTTTACAGGCAGACAGAAGTACAGTAGAGGGATGCGACAAATGCACCCGAATTAGCCAACAGAAGTGGGGAGGGAAGATGCAAACTATTGGCGCGCGCAGTCGTGAGTCGTGATTCGTGGACTGACTTTCAATTCCAATTCAACCCGTCTAGGGGGGCGTAGCCCACCCTCACATGGGTGGGCCGTCGTCGGCGTCGCGTACAGCAGCAGCAGAAACCACTGTTGCAGCCGTCCCACATCGGGGAGTGGTTCTCCGCCTCTGCGCCCAACCCAACCGCCCGTTCGTCCAACTAAACAAGGGTGCGCGAATATGCTGGTCGAGGTGGGTGATGGCGTACGGTGGGACGCACTGTGTGCTGCTGACGCTTGAACTGGTGTGGTACATAAGTGTCTCACCCACCTAAGTTCTAACTACCCCGCTATGGCGGAGGCAGTCGGAAATTGGGGCAATACCACGCCCGAGAGCTTTGTAAGTAAGCTACCGAGCGCGTGAACCATTTGCCATAGAAAGTTGGGTATTTCAGGGTGAGCTGTGTGTTGGAGGGAAAGCAACGGTGTGGGTTTTACAGTACCCCCTTTCTCTCCCCCAGACTCCCTCTCCTCCCCCTGAAGTGGGGTACACTGAGGAATCTCCCAAGCCAACATCATCGGAAGATTGCAAAGTTGCCTGGTGGATGGTTACGAATCATCGCAAGTACGCATGTGGGCTGGAGGGTCTGTGGACTTCACGAGGGAGGTCGGTACTGTACAGTAGTTTCACTGTGGCTTTGTTCCTGCTGCCGTTGCTCTTGCTGCTTTTGCTGCCGCTGCTGATGTGGCCGTACAGTATCGTGGGGAGGGGAAGGTGGAAGCACGCCAGAGAGTTCAGCTGCGTACAGGTCTGTGTAACTGATCCGTTGTCGTGTAGGTGCCCAATAGCCTACGACGGCACGCTCATAGGCCGGTGGGCTCCTTTGCTGAAAAGTGTACACCCCGCTCGTTGAGCCTCGCTGTCGGCACAGACAAATCAACCAGCAATGCTGTCCCCAATTACAATCGATGCATCCCTGAAACTTCAGAAAGCATTTCCAGCTTACCGTAATAGCATTATACAAGCTACCATAAGCTCTAAAAAGGCAAGGTAGGACGAGGAAAATATGAGATTAGGGAATGTTAATCGTGTGCTACATTCTGTGATTCCTGACTGAGTTTTACGTCAATATGACCTTTCACCACAACAGGAAGCCTATGACTGAGTGTAAGCAAGGCCATGATGTTCCGTCCATACTACTAGACCCCAAAACACCAAGCCCTGCATATTGCTGCTGCTGTGCCCCATGGCTTGACACCCGCGCAACTGAGATCCAGAGAATAAGAAATGTGGGAGGCATAGGTAAGACGAGTTTGCATCCAATTTCTAGTTGATTGGATGCAGGACAAAGCCCACATACTTCAAGAATCACAGAGCACATCAAAGCCAAGGTTCAGCTCATTGCCAATGCGTTCAACAGCAAACACCTCTGCCTTTCCCACGACTGACGTTACAATCCCCCCTTGGTCCCCAAATGGGTCCCTTCCTGTGCGGCCAGCACGGTGTGTGTAGATGACAGTGTCTGCCGGCAAGTCAATGTTGTAGACATGCGACACGGCAGGAATATCAAGGCCTCGAGATGCGAAGTCAGTGGTTACCATGACGCGATGAGGAGACGACGAAGACCGAAACTCCTGCAACAGAAACAGGCATGTGGGAAGAGGGAGGAAGGAACAAGACAGATGAAATGTTGAACCTCCACGTTCCATGTACTACAGCAATCACCAACAACGAGATCTATTCACCCACACTTCCTAAATGTGCATCAACCTCGCCAATCAACCCAATGCCCCCATCTCACCTCAAGGGTGTTAGTACGTGCATGCACATTGCCCTCCGCCTCCAGACACCACACCAGAGGCTCCTCAATGCTGCCCTGCCCCCCAGCACTTGCAGTCTCTGTGCCTTGATGCGACATGGCTGCCTCCACTTCCTCCCCCTCCTCCTCTTCCTCAGCAGCCGCAGCAGCAGCATGAGTGTGGGCAGCAGGGCCACTGATGAGTGGCTGATTGGCACAAAAATTGGAGGAGAGGAACGAGGCAACCATGCGGCATGGACTCTCCTTGCCCGCACTGCACTCCTTGTCACTCTGACAGGCCGGGGGGGGAGAGTTCAGTGGGAGGACGACGATGTGAAGAAGCGAGGACATGATCGATCGGTGGCATTTGCACAAGCGGGAGGAGAAAAAGGCATCATGGCATGGCATGGCACGGCATGGCATGGCATGGAATGTGGTGGCTCACCAGTGGCCTGACAAACACCATGGCCGCAGTGGGGCGGTCAGCCTTTAGCAGAGCCAGCAGCAGAGGAAGCTTCTTAGAAGGGGAGGAGCATGTCTGATGTTCGCACACGTTATTTAGCATCCACCAGGAATGGGGAGGCAAGGGAGCAACAGCCATCGGATGTTAGACAATAAGCAGTTGATTCATGCATGCAATCAAGAACACAAGCAGAAGTCAGAAAGTGTTTTCAAAGAAACACAGCCCATGTCTACAATATGAGAAGGTAAAAAGGGAATTTTGAATAAGAGGTGGATTGGTACAGCATGAGAGCACTTACGGCATATCGATGAATGAGGCCTGGTGGCATGGTGGAGTGCACATGCACATACACCACCGACTCCTGCCATGCTTGCATGGGCCAGGGGCGAGGGAGCGAGGGGCACACACATGCAGGCAGGCGGTGAGATGTGCATGGGGGAATGAAGGAGTCTGTGTCCGTGCAAGGGGCAACATACTGCTGACGAGTGCACAAAAATGTGTTTGCATTCAGGTAAATCGATCATGGCTCATACGATGGGAAAGAGAGGGTGACAGATGAAAGGACAGACGCCCTTCTCTCATACACCCAGAGATTGACCTTGGTTCATGACTCGTTTTGCTCCCATTGACTCTCAATGACTCACGTTGACCCACTTGCAATGAATCACATCGCGTATAAACCTCTTCGCCTGTGGCACAGTCGCCGTGGCCAGCACTGTCTGTCTCCCCCCCCCACTTCCCCTCCGCTCCCCCCTCCTCTCCGCACCACTCCCCTCCTCCTTCCCTCTATGCCACACCCCTGCACCCTCGCCTGCTGCCCTCCCTCTCTCTGGGTGGCCGGCATGTGCTTCTTGGTGGGGCGGCGGGCAGAGCGAGATGAGCTTGTGGAGGGACTGGGAGCCCGACAGCTTGGACGACACCGACACTGCATCCACCTGGGGGGGGTTGGGGACGGAGGGGAGGGGAGGTGAGAGGGAGAGGGGGAGAGGAGAGGGGGAGAGGCGAGAGGGAAAGCGAGGGGGAGAGATTGAGGGAGGAGGGAAGAGAGAGAAGGGACGGCAAGGTTACGGAGGCACTCGAGCAGATGGTTAGCATGAGGGCGTTCCGTGCTGGCACCATCCCGCCCTCACACTGTTGTAGCAGCTGGTTTTTTATATTCTCAGAAGCCAACTGAGCGCCACCGTGGAGCAACAAGTGATTGTTCTGGCACGCAGGCGAAGCCATATGCGCTGCCACACAAGCCACCTCACATCACGCATGCATGCGAAGAACACAGCGGGCATCGGCGAGTCACACGTGGTGACAAACCACAGGGGAAACAGACCACGACCAGACCCACTCCCATGCATGCACCCACATACTCCTCAACCCCTCCTCCCGGCTCTCCTCCCACCCCGTATGTCCCTCCACCCTCCTCCCCTCACCTCATCGACAACGAGGAAGCACAGTGAGTGCAGGGTGAGTGGGTGGCGGCGGTGCAGGGCGAGAATGGCGTCGGGTGTGCCCACCAGCACGTGGGGGGGCTCCGCCTTGGGGGGGGGGGTGGGGAGGGGGAGAGAGGGGGATGGGGATGAGTAAGTCCAAATGAGGAGAGGCGGAATGAGAGGAGAGACAGGAGGAGATTGCAAGCGACAACATGGAGGAGGATGGCTGGTGGGGAAGGGAGTCCCATGTACTGAGATACAATAAATGGCAATGTGAGCCACCTGGCAGCATGCCAACATGCCACGCCATCACGCCATCATGCCATCATGCCAGCAAGGTACCTTGAGCCAGACACTCTGTCTCCTGGTGGGCTTGTTGGACTCCCCATCCCCACCCACCACCATCACACCAACCCTCTCTCGGCCCCCCTTGCCCCCTCGCCTGCCACTCCCTCCCCTCCATTCCTTCCCCTTCCCCTCGCCCATCTGCCTCCCCTTCCTTTCCTTTTCACCTCTCCGCCCCTGCTGCTCCTCTCCCCTCCTCCCCTCCCTCTCCCCTTCAAAGCTTCCCCCGTCCATCCCCTGCCCCTCCTCGTCCTCAGTCCCATCCTCCTCGCCCTCTGCTCGCCCCCGCACCACCCCCAGTCTGCGAGCCAGCCGCCCCACCTGCGGGTAGACGAGGGAGGCGCGGGAGGAGGCCGGAAGGAGGGGGGATGGGCGGGCAGCACGGAGGATATTGGACGGAGGGAGGGGCGGTGTGGGGAAATGACAGCAGGGGGGCGCGACAGGAAGAAATGCATGAGTATGATTAAATTCCAAAGGGCTCCAATCATCCCCCATTCATGAACAAGGTCCATTACTCTCCATCCCCACACGCCGCTACTGCCATCTGCACCCACCCACCCACCCACCCACCCACGCACCCGCCCACCCACTTCCCTCCCTTCCCCGCCCTGGCTGAGCGCGTGACCTGCATGGCGAGCTCGCGCGTGGGCAGCAGCACCATGGCCTGCAGCGCCCTGCGCGAGGGGTCAATGCGCGCCAGCAGCGGCAGCAGAAACGCCACCGTCTTGCCCGACCCCGTCTGACAGGGGTGGGGGGAGGGGAGAGGGGGAGGAGAAGCGGGAGGGAAGGGGAAGGGAGGGGACAGGGACGTGTGGGAGGAGGGGTAGAGAGGGGAAGGGGGAAGGCGGAATCAATTGGTGATCCAGCAGAGATGGGTGTGCGGTAAGAACAAGTTGCTGGAGGACTCATTGTCAACAAGGAACAGACCCATGAGGGTGAGGAGAGGAGAGGAGGAGACACACAGAGCTTCTGCAAACTAAGACACGCAACCAGGACACACTCATGCAGGGTCAACCGCTATTATCACCTGTGCATGAAGGATGGCGTCATGCCCCCTCAGCAGCACAGGCAGTGCCTGCCGTTGCGTCTCCGTGGGCCGCTCAAACCCTAGTTCGCACGCCCTGGAGCCATGGCATGGCGCAACGAGAGAAGACAAAAGGGCGGGGGAGGGTAGGATAGCGACGACACGGGCGGATGGGGTAGAGGAGAGGGGGACTGGATCAGGTCGATCGGACCAGGGCGCAAAGAGAAGGGAGGTGGGAAGGGGAAGGCGATAGGGATGGAGTATGGGGTTCTAGCTGCATGACATGCCCTGACCATACCGTACCATGCCATGCCAAGCCACACCATGCATCCTCCCACCTGTCCAGCAGCCATGGGGGCAGCATATCCCCCACCACACCTTCCAGCGTCGCTCCACCCTCCCCCCCGATTCCCGTCCCCGCCACACCACCCATATCCCTGCCCTCCTCCCCATCCGCCCCTCCCCCTTCCGCGCCATCCCCTTCCCCCCGCGCCACCAATCCATCAGGATCTCCGTGCAACTCCCCATTCCCCGCCTTCTCCACATCCTCGCTATCCGCGCTCTCTCCTGTCCTCTCTCCCGCAACTGCCGGCTCCCTCACCGCACGCGTTCTCCAGCCATTCGTTACACACACGCATGCCAGCTTAGCAGCGCGATTCACGGCGGCAGGAGCGAATGGCCGCAAGGCAGTCACGCCGCAGGCATTGACGCGCCGAGCGGAGGAAAACTTGGCGGCTTCATTACATCCTCGTCTCAGAGAGACCGGAGTGACACGTGTCGCAAGCGCAGAGGACGGCTGGCAGCAGCGAGTAAGCGCGGGTGAGAAGGACAGTCTAGGATGGCGACGGGGCGGGAAGTTCGAGGAGCAATGGCGGGGCAGAAGGAGAGGACGCAGGGACGAAGTGGTGGCGGCCGTGCTGTGCATGGCGTCGCACGATGAGTAGTGAGAGATTGCGACAGGACATGCGACGAAATGCGACGGAATGCGATGGAATGCGTATGATATACGATTCTCCTGCCTTGTTCTACTGCTGTGGTGCAACCCTAGAAAACGGTTTCATCAAGGTTTTGAACACTTGCTTGGAACAGAAACAATCTGTACATAATTCTCGTTTTTCGGGAATCAAGGTTTTCTATACGAGGTTGAATGAAAAACGAGAATTATGCACAGATTGTTTCTTACGGAGAAAGGATCTTCCAGAAACGGGAACAAAAGCCATGTCTGCCTGCACTCCTACTGACCATCATTCCTTCACTCCACCCAGCCAACAGCCATCGCGCTGAACCCCCGCTCAAACCATCGCTCGCCAGCGGCATTCGCGGCCTCTCTCCCGTCGCATCCAATGCGGGTCGCTGCTCTCTCCCTCGTATCGTCGCCGCTCGCCGTCGCGCCAACTTGGCGCGCTTTCACCGCCCCCTCCTGTCCCTCGCGGAATGTAGCTCCGGCCTCCTCAGGCCGCCTCCTGTCGTCGTCGCTTCTCGCCACGCGCACCGCCATCTTCAGCCATCACGCGCGCGGGTTAGTAGATTATAACAACCCAAGCATCGCAGCGCGATCGCTGTCTCGTCGCCGAGCAGTCGCGATGGCCGCTGCTGACGGCGGCAACTCCGCGGACGGATCGAAGATCTCCGTGCTCTTCGTGTGCCTGGGTGAGACTCCTCTCCCCACCACGCGCCACGCGAAACCGATCCAGCATTCCGCAACGGCTTTCATGCCTTCGTACCCGATTCGCGACCCATTGCTTTGCCGCCTCGTACTTCCTCACTCGTCAACCACCCGTTCCTCCAACCCGCCCCTCCCGTCTCTTCCGAATGCATGCATCATCCGTGTCCTAACCAATACCACATCCGTCTGCTATCCAATCCGCGCGCGTGTCTCCCCTAGGCAACATTTGTCGGAGTCCGTCCGCGGAGGGCGTGTTCACGCACATGGTGAAGCAGCGCGGCATCGCGCACCAATTCCAGATTGATTCCGCAGGGACCATCGACTACCACGAGGTACGTCACGGACGCGCATCAGACGCCCCTCTCCTGTCCGTACTTCGCGCCCAAGCTACGCAGCTCAGTGGCCCTCAATCACGGGCTTCCCCGGCCCACATCCTTCCGTTCTCCCCATGTTTTCGCGCAACGCCTGCTACCCGTTACTCCCCAGGGCAACCCGGCGGATCCGCGCATGCGCAAGGCGGCGGAGCGGCGGGGCATTCCGCTGACGTCGCTGTCGCGGCCCATCCGGCCGTCGGACTTCTCGACGTTCGACCTCATCCTCGCCATGGACCGCAGCAACCAGCGTGAGTGATACGTGTGCGCGCATGCACCGGGTGTGCATCGGGTGTACGGGGCATGGGGCAGGGGGTACATGGATGTTAAGGGGGAAAACAGAGACGCGAGTGGAATGGGTCGAATCAATAATAATGTTTTTGGGACGATTCTCCTCCTCGTCGAACCCCCCTCCCCCCCTCTCTTTGTTCTCATCCGTTCTCCTTGGCAAGAAGAAGTGTTTCGTTTCCATTCTGACTGTGGTACCTTTCTGTTTGTCGTGCAACCACCATCTCATATGCAGATGACATAGGCCGGGCGTTCCGTCAGTGGCAGCGCGCTCATGACCTGCCAGAAAATGGCTTGGACAAGGTATGCGATCTGAGGTCGCATTGCTTGCTGACAGCTGCGTGAGTGGCTCAAGTAGAGTCACATTCTGCTGCCTTGATTCAAGCTTGTTTCTGTTCAGCACTATCCGAACACAGCTTTGAGGCTTATCACGTTCTTCCGTTGTTTCTTGATATGCCACCCAGGTTAAGCTCATGTGCTCCTATTGTCGCAAGCTTGATTATGATGAGGTCCCTGACCCTTACTATGGTGGTGCACAGGGCTTTGAGACAGTAAGTTGGGTGGTTGCACATGGACGCAACGTTTTTGTGTATCACTGTCATGTTTTGCATCTACGTTGTGGCATTTCAATGGATTTTGCAACATCAGAGGGTCCGGTGCTGATTTTGTTGCCATATTCTCTTTGGATTGCAGGTGTTGGATCTCCTAGATGATGCTTGTGGAGGACTTCTAGATTCCCTTGTCAAAGATAACTAGATTCCCTCATCAAATATCACACATGGTATTGAACCAGATGGGCAAGTGTAGCGCCAGTAAATAGCGATGGCAGAAACCTACCATACTAACCAGGGGAGGAGACCCACCCATGCTAAAGCTGGTGAAATCTCGGTGTTCAGTGGTTGAAAATGGTGAACCTCATGAAGCTTCAGCGTAGCCAAGCCACCCTACTGAACCCCAGTGGCACACGGTGTTCTTGTGCGTGCTGCACCCCAGATGCTAGCAATTTTACAATGTTTGGCTGAATTGAGATGAACGTTACATGTAGTATCGTTATTCAACATATACGCTACAAAGTATAAAAGGTGTTTGGTACAGTGCTACTTGGGCTTCCCACTCATGGATCTGTGTGTGCAAGCACTACAATGACAAACCTCGAACGCGCCGCACGCTGAGCGGCAGATCTGACTGGCCCGTAGGACCCTGCTCCCGTCAAATGCAGAATGGCTTCCTGCACAACCTTTCTGGCATGCCATGCCATGCCTCTCGCCAAAGCGTTCTGCGAATGTTCTTGAACTGAGAGCTCGCGAGCCTCGGAAGGAGGTCCGGAAGGCAAACGAGCCTCCCCCTCAACACGCTATTATTGGATTGCTGGTCCGTCAGGTGATCTCGGTTCGCCTCCACCAGCCGCCAGATCACCTCCCAGACCTGAGAAACGTGCGTCACCACAGCCCTGCTTTGGTTTGGTGTGGAGGCTCCAGCCAGTTCAATTACACTGAATGGCCTGCTCGCGTTGTAACGGGTTTCTCTGTGCAAGATTCAGCAGAGAGCGAGTCTCGTGCTGGGTTGCATAGAAGGTTGGACCTTGGAATCCGACTGCAGCATGTGCAGTGGCCAGATTCGTGTTCCCGTCCCGTCCCTTGTGTTCGTGGTCCCTTCAGCTGGCGTCGAGTGGTCTGTCGTCACTTGGGATTCGGTGTTCGTTGTTTAGATTAGTAGCGACGACAGATTCGTCCGATCCTGCCTTGGTACCGTGAAACTCGAAACTCGTTAGCGTCTACGTGGGCTAGATCTCAAATTTATAAGCGCTAACTGGATTCACGTCTCATCAATTTGGACCAGCCATCTAGAATCGCCATGGCTTCCACGGTGGAAACGGCAACGACTGGCGGGTCTGCCGAGGATCTCACCACTCCAAGCGCTACATCCGTGCAACTCGCGGGAGCAGCTGGAGCAGGCGTAGGAATCGAGGATGGCGGATACTTGCGGCCCGAGGGTGCGGTCATGGTCATGATGTCGAAGCGGCTGCGCGCGCTTCGCAAGAAGAAGAAGCGGATCGCAGACATCGAGGAGGCCAAGGCTGCGGGGAAGAAGCTTCAGCCGGAGCAGGAGGAGGTTCTGAAGCAGAAGCTGACGGTAACGCTGCTCATCGAGGAGTACGAGAAGCTGTACGCGCCGCTGCAGGCGTCCGTACACGAGCAGGTGTCGGACTGCGAGAAAGCCGTCGCCGCCGCAATTCAGCAGAAGGCTGAAAGGGAGGCTGCAGAGGCTGCGGCAGCGGCGGCGGCAGCGGCGGCGGCTGCTGCTGAAGAACTTTCGGATGAAGCTGCAGAGGCAGTGACTGCTGATGGAGCTGCGGAGAAGGCTGATGAGCAAGCGGACTCGACGGAGGGAGCGACAGGCCAGTCAGCAAAGGAAATTCCAGGTCGAGAGGAAGGAGCAGCGGCGGGGTCTGCAGCAGCAGATAAGTCTGACGACGTGGATCGAGCCGTGAGGAGCGTTGTTGAAGTGCTCTACTTCGGCTCGCTCTTCGATCTGCGGATGGACTCAGCGGGAGCGTCGCCGCTGCTGAGCTGGCGCAACACGCAGGAGCGCACGTCGTGCCTCTCCTACGACCCTATCACCGACGACAACGCCGCCGCCTTCCTGTGCGACGCGGATCTCGACGCCGTCGCGGCGGCGGCGCGGCTGCTGACGACGCGAGACGCGAGCGCGGCGAACCACAAGGAGGCGCTGGATCGGTGCGTGGCACACGCCGTGGCGCTGGCGTCGCGCTCCCAAACTGCGATCGACCCGTCCATCCACCTTACGTGTACATCCATGCTACCTCCACTGTTGACCATGCTTCTTCCGCTCATGCATCTACCCTCGTCACACGAGCAGTCGCTCTTCTGTGCCTTTCTTCTTCTTATTATTCGATTTAGAGCGTACTTCCTCATGCCTCGCGTCTCCAATCCCTCCCACCTCCCCTCGCCTCTTTGTCTCGCTCTTTCCCTCCCTCTTGACACCATCCGTGCCAAACCCTGTCCCCGTCGCGCCTTGTTCGTCTCTGCCGTCGTTCGTTACCCTGCCGTCGTTACCCTCTCGTCTCAGATGGGCAATTGCGCGATCGTCTGGACCGCATCATCGCCTCGGGTTTCTTCACCAAATGGGCCGAGGTCGTTTCATCCGAGGTCGTTGCCGCCGCAGCCATGGCCGCTCAGGGCCACTTCCCCTCAGCCAGCCCCGTGCCCGCTCCCTCTTACGCCCCAGCCCCATCTGCCGCCGCTCCTGCTGCCGCGGCGCCCCCTGCGCCTTCTGCGCCAGCGTCTGCGGACTCCCTTGCGCCTGCTGATCCTGCTTCCCCCGCGTCAGCCCCAGCCGCGGCGACTGTTACTGTTCCATCCCCTGGGGGCCCTTCTCCAGTGAACGGAGTTGTCTTCGGCTCCGTGCGCCCGGACGCTCTACCCGCAGTGTCAGCAGCCCCTGTCACTTCTCCGCTTGTGCAGGCCGCGCCCGTGCCCGCGGCTGCGCCTGCCATGGAGCCCTCGCCGCCGGCACAGGGGCATCAGGCTCAGGCAGCTGCGCAGGCAGCAGGGGCAGCAGTGGTTGGGCAGCAGGGAGCGCCGGTGGTAGGCATTCAGGGACTGGTGGAGCAGGGGCAGGGCGTGGTGGGTGCTGCGCCGGTGCCCCAGGTGCCTCAGGTGCCTGCTGCGGCTGCTCAACCTGCTGCAGTGGCGGGGCAGCAGGTGGCAAGGGCGGGCGCTGTGGGTCCAGAGCAGGCGAAGCAGGCGCAGGTGCAGCAGGGGCAGGCTGCAACTCAGGTGAGAATGGCTGGGAGGAATGGGAAGGGAGATGATCCTTGAGTGATGCTGGTGGGCTGATGTGCCTGTGGGCTGATGTGCCTATGAGCTGATGTGCCTGTGGGCTGATGTGCCTGTGGGCTGATGTGCCTGTGAGCTGATGTGCCTGTGGGCTGATGTGCCTGTGTGCTGATGTGCCTGTGGGCTGATGTGCCTGTGTGCTGATGTGCCTGTGAGCTGGTGTGCCTGTGTGCTGATGTGCCTGTGGGCTGATGTGCCTGTGTGCTGATGTGCCTGTGGGCTGATGTGCCTGTGTGCTGATGTGCCTGTGGGCTGATGTGCCTGTGTGCTGATGTGCCTGTGGGCTGATGTGCCTGTGTGCTGATGTGCCTGTGAGCTGGTGTGCCTGTGTGCTGATGTGCCTGTGGGCTGATGTGCCTGTGTGCTGATGTGCCTGTGAGCTGATGTGCCTGTGTGCTGATGTGCCTGTGGGCTGGTGTGCCTTCGTTGTATAGCGCTTGTCATAAAGCTGTGGAACTCTTTTTTACGTGCGCCCGTTTTTCACCCTTCAAGTATTGTCTGCTCCACTATTGCGAGCACCTTTAAATCATTCAGCCACTCCCTGTGTCTGAACCTCTCCTTAAGGCCCTCCGCTCAACCCCTCTCCCTCTTCCGTGCGTTCCCCATCAACCCATTGCTCCTCGTCGCCATCGTCTCCAGGCCGTTGCCCCTACTGCCCCAGCTGCACCTGCAGGGCACGTGCACCCACAGGCGCAGCACACACCAGTGGTCACATCCCGCAGCAGTGGCAGTGGGGGGAGGGGCGGAATCATGGGCGCAGGTCCTGGGGGGTACATGGGCGGACGAGGGGCAAGAGGAGGGTACCGTGGGGGAGGGGGGCGGGGGGGCCGTGGGGGAGGGGGGCGCATGATTGGGGGAGGGTATGTGGTCTATGACCCTGTGCTGGTTAATGCTGGCATGATGGGGGGCGTGGTGGGCGCCCCTGGCATTGCACCTGGCATGACACCTGGCATGACACCTGGGATGGCACCTGGCATGACACCTGGAATGGCACCTGGATTAGCGCCTCCTGGTGTGAATATGGGCCCGATGTTGTCTGGGGGAGGTGCAGGTGGGGGAGGTCGAAGGGGTGGGGGGCGCGGGAGAGGAGGCCGTGGGAGGGGAGGGAGAGGAGGGGGGTATGACGGTGCAGGGGGTGCAGGAGGAGGGGGAGGATCTGTGGTAGGGCCGAGTAGTGGACCAGTGGTGGGGGGAGGCATGGCAACTGGTGCTCCCCCTGTCGCAGGGCACTAGTGAGGCAGGACAGTGGTGTGCCAGGGCAGTAGTGACATGGCACGTCGCTGATGTCGAGGGCATGAGTCAGCAGAAGTATTCTTTGTGGCACCTGAGCTAGGAAGACAGGAAGGGTGAATTTCTGCTGCTTGGCAAAAGATGTGGGAAGTGGGGAGGGACAGAGAGAGGAAGAGGGGGGGTTGAAGAGGTGGTGGGGAATCTGTGAGCCAGAGATATGCTGGAATTACTAGCATGGTGACAGCTTGTTTGTGCAACCAGAGTGAAGGAGAGAGTGCGATCTGAAGCTGTTGGACTGTTGGTAGCAAATCTGACTTGTTGGCAGGACCGGTTTTCCTACATTCCAATTCATTCATGGCCAATTGCCAACTTGATGTGTGTGCAATGACAAGTGTGGTGCATGGCAGCCAGGTTCTTAAGATGGAAACAACCAGAGGGTTTCGTTGTCGATTGTTGGAAATGTCTCAAAGGACTTGAGCGTTTCTGAAGTGTAACACTACACTCGAGGAAGATCGCAACGGGTACGCGAGTCAACGGAGGTTACACGTGGCGATGGGCAAAGAACGCGAAGGGACTTGAAAGGTCGCAACTGGAGGTTGCGACTGACCGTTACAGCATCGCGGATGGTAACCGAAGCGACAATCGAGTCGCTGTGCGACTCGATAACCGCTCCTGCAACTGTATTCTACAACTGCTTTCTTATTTTCTATATATTGCTGTATGCTTGTTTCTTTAATCAATCACTTGCTCTCATATACTAGTACAAGGGTTCAAACTACTCAACTTCCGCTGCACTACTCAAGTCTCATTCTTCAACTGGGATTTCGTCTCTGGAAAGATCCTAAGGGCTTTTTCTCAGCCCAACATGGTATGAGAGCTGGTCAGAGACCAAACTCCCAGCAACTATGCTCTATCTACAATCTACAATTCAAACGACTTCATTGATTACAAGTCATGGACAGCAAGGGCAAGAAAATCTCTACAGGCTCACCCAGCGCCCAAGACATTCAACCCGGCAACTCTGGATTGCATACTTCAGGACTGCAAACCGAGACCGGCGCTGCTCAAGAAACAACAGGAAGAACACCGGAAATGGTTACCCCATCACCCTCTTCAAGCGTGGATCCGAACCTTATGGAAAGGTTCTTCAGCTTCATGTCGCACTTCGACCAGCAGCAGCAGACAAGGACGCCTGCACATTCAACACAAAGCAACTGAGGGAACATGGGATTAGCGCCGATGAGCCTCGACAACTCATCGTTCGGGCGACACAATCAAGCGCCTACCTTTGCGCCTTATCACTCTTCACCGGGGACATTCGAGTTCATGCCGCCCCGTGCCCAACCAACAGCAGCTGCATCACAACAAACACCAAACGAGATTTTAAGTCTCCAGGCGCAGTTCTCACACGTGATGAAACTGCAGACATCCTCACCATTCAACGGACACGATTTCTTTACCTGGAGCTTTGAGTTCGAGCTGCTGATGGAGGCTGCGCATCTCTTGGGATACTTCAACGGGTCCCTGCCATTCCCAAGCAACGGTACTTCAAAGGAGCAAGAAATATTTACTTATCAGTCGCTGCTGGCGTACACAGTTCTCCTGCGGAACCTGTCACCACAAGAACAGCAGAGCATCAGAACATATCGCAGCTATGGAAACTCCGCGGAACTCGCATGGCATCATCTCAAGTGTCTCTATCAAGCAAACGACAGCGTGACACAAAGCAGGCTTATGCAACAACTGACAACAATACAGATGAAGACCGGGGAAAAGGCGATGCAGTATATGAGTCGCTGCCAGACCCTCCGCGACCGCCTGCTTCGGTGCGGAGGAACAATCGCTGAAGAAAGCTTCGTGACGCTTGTCCTCGCCGGGCTCGGGCCAGAATGGAGAACCACACGCTCGCTTCTTCGCGCCCACGGAAGGATATCGGAGATGCACCTCTGCGCCGAGCTTCACGCTGAACAACAGGAGATGGACTTGTTCGAAGAAAGACAACCAAGGAAGCAGCAGCAGTTAGTTTTCTACACTCAACGAAGGAACGACAACAACTACAATCGACACGGCAAACAAGATCAATGCGACAACAGAGGACTCACCTTCGTGCCACCGTTCTGCCACAACTGTCAGACTTCCGTACATTCCAAAGTCAACTGCACACGTCCTCGTGTTTATCGTTCAGTAGACCCACACGTCGCCTCCACTCAAGAAAGCCCTCCAAGGCACTCTTCCACATCTGCACAAGGGACACCGAACATCATTAACTGCGTGGTACACATCGACAACTGCGCACCCGGATCACCACCCACCAACTATGTCATCACGTTTATCGACGCAGCAACAAGATACGTCTGGCACTACAACCTCAAGACGCGCGATCAAGCCTTCGACGCCTTCACGACATGGCTACCCATCGCTGAACGAGAATCAGGAACAAAGCTCAAGAGCTTCCAATCAGACGGTGCACTGGAATACCAGTCACAACGCTTCAGGACCTATCTGGCGGAAAGAGGAATCAGACGCCTGGTGTCTCTGCCCTACGCTCACCAGCAGCAGGGGGTCGCAGAACGCATGAACCGGACCTTGCAGACGACGATGCGGAAGCTGCTCCTGGGGATGAGACTGCCCACCACACTGTGGCCAGACGCGATGACACATGCAGTCCACCTGCACAACCTGTTGTCCTCGTCATCACTTCCCAACAACGCATCACCGCACCTGCTATGGACACGAAAACGGGGCAGCACAAAATTACTTCGAGTTTTCGGTTGCATGGTACAGTACAAACCCCACACAGCCAGAGCAGGACGTTTCACCCAACGAGCACGATGGGGGCTACACCTCGGCATCGCACAACATTTTCACGCATGGAAAATCCTCGACATACAAGACAAAACTACAGTGGCATAACGTGATGTTACCTTCTACGAGCGACTGACGCTGCAGCATTACCTGGACAACATTACCAACACGCATGACCCCACCGACGACTTCGCGGGCCTTCGTTCCTTCCCCGACCGTGCTGCCGAGGCTGACGCAGCAGAAGAAGACGTACCTGGAGCCTCGGAAGCTGCCGGACCACTCCCTTTCTGTTCCGTACCTGTTCCACTCGACGAAGACAATCCTCTCGATAGCAACAACCTCGACACCTTTTACCACTTCGCTGACCAAGGTTACGTTTCACCCCACCCGGTCGACACGAATGTTTTAGAACGCATCGGCTCAAACTTCTTACCTGATCCAGAAGACGGTGACGAAGCAGCCTATTCCGGGAATGAAAATTCCCCTCGACACACACCAACGGGACTGCAGATACTCGGCCTATGGGTCTCCGTCCAGCATCCGCCGCCGCCATCTCCGCGCGAGCCCTCGACTCTGTCACAGGCTCTGGGAGGGGAACATAAGGCAAAATGGAAGGAGGCGATGGAAAAGGAGTTAAAGGCTCTGCAAGACCGAAATACATGGAAGCTGGTACCTGCAACAAGCATCAACGGGAAGAACGTCCTCTCGGGAAAATGGGTGTACCGCATCAAGACCAATGCGGACGGTTCCACCGAACGATTCAAAGCTCGATGGGTCGTACGAGGGTTCGATCGACGATACGGAACCGACTACACAGAAACATTCGCCCCAGTCTCCCGTCACACCTCATTGCACATCCTACTCGCCGTCGCGGCCACGAAGAAACTACCACTGCGCCAAATCGACGTCGCAAATGCTTTCCTGTACGCACCTGTGGACGCTGAGATCTTCGTCGAGCAACCCCACGGATTCATCGACGACCCCACAAAAGTATGCCAGCTGATAAAATCCCTATACGGGATCAAGCAAGCCCCGCGGCTCTGGCAGCAGCATCTTCACGGTCGCCTCGTAAAAATCGGATTCCTACAGCTACCGCATGACCAAGGCATGTACCGACTGCAAAATGGAGGAGAGTATATCCTACTCATCGTTTACGTCGACGACCTGCTCTACATCGGTTCCACTACCGACATCGCCACTTGGTTCGAAGGGGAGCTGAAAGAGGACTTCACACTCACGGTGTCCGACGCAGTGACCCAGTACCTGGGACTGAATGTCGTCGAAGACAACTCGGCTCTCTACCTACATGCTGGAAAGTACGCAAGCACTGTCGCGAAGAAATTCGGTCTAACGCCGACTACGGTCCCGACTCCCTACCGCTACGGGAACAACAACAGCACCTCCGCAAAACTCCCCGCGAAGCAAATCCAGGAGTATCAGCAGAAGCTCGGCTGCCTACTATTCGCAGCAGTAACCTGCCGACCCGAACTATCTTATAGCGCGAGCCAACTGGCGACGCATCTGAAGCAGCCGAAACAAGAAGATCTCGAGGAACTTAATCAGGCACTACTCTACTTCGTCTCCACGCCGACGACCGGGCTCACCTACAGCAAAATAACGACACCGTCCGTACGACTACTCGGATACGTCGACGCCGACCACGCGGGAGACAAGGAAAATCGACGATCGAGAACGGGCTACATCTACCGACTAGAACCTATCGGGACTATCTCCTGGCAGTCGAGCAAGCAGGAACTAATCGCACTATCTTCGGCTGAAGCAGAATATATCGCCCTCTGTACTGCGACCAAGGAAGGACTCTACCTACGAGAGCTGCTAGAGGAAGCGAAGATTGCGACCCTGCCCGCCTTCTCACTCCTCTGCGACAACCAATCTGCGATCAAAATCGCGAACAAGGACGGCTTCGCCAACCGAACCAAACACATCGCCCTGCGGTACTTCTTCGTCAAGGATGGAATCGCGAAGGGGAGACTTCTGTCAAACATGTCTATGTGTTATGTTTGTATAGACTGTATAGGGTAGCCTCTTAGAGGGTACAACACTTAGCTATATTGTGTGTACTCTCTCTGTATCAACAACACCTCAATTTCTGATATGGTATCACGCGTAGGTAGGATCCCCCACCCCCCACCTACCGCTTCCGCTCGCCCCCCTAGCCCCGTCGCGACCCCCTAGCCCCGTCGCGCCCCTCCAGGCCCCGTAGCGCCCCTCCTGGGCCCCGTAGCGCCCCTCCTGGGCCCCGTAGCGTCCCTCCTGGGCCCCGTAGCGCCCCTCCTGGGCCCCGTCGCGCCCTCTCTGGGCCCTGTAGCGCCCCTCCTGGGCTCTGTCGCGCCCCTCCCAGACCCCGTCGCGCCCCCCCCTGGGTCCCGTCGCGCCCCTCCCAGGCCCCGTAGCGCCCCTCCTGGGTCCCGTCGCGCCCCTCCCAGGCCCCGTAGCGCCCCTCCTGGGACCCGTCGCGCCCTTCCTGGGCCCTGTAGCGCCCCTCCTGGGCCCCGTCGCGCCCCTCCCAGGCCCTGTAGCGCCCCTCCTGGGACCCGTCGCGCCCCTCCTGGGCCCCGTAGCGCCCCTCCTGGGCCCCGTCGCGCCCCTCCCAGGCCCTGTAGCGCCCCACCTGGGACCTGTCGCGCCCCTCCTGGGCCCCGTAGCGCCCCTCCTGGGCCCCGTCGCGTCCCTCCCAGGCCCCGTCGCGCCCCTCCCAGGACCCGTCGCGCCCCTCCTGGGCCCCGTAGCGCCCCTCCTGGGCCCTGTCGCGCCCCTCCTGGGCCCCTGCAGCGCCCCTCCTGGGCCCCCCCGTCGCGCCCGCCCGGTCCTGTCGCACCAGCCTGGCCCCGTCGCCCACGCTCGGCCCCGTCCTGCTCGCCCGGCCCCGTCGCACCCGCCCGGCCCCGTCGCACCCGCCCGGCCCCGTCGCATCAGCCCGGCCCTGTCGCGCCCGCCCGGCGCCGTCGCACCGGCCCGGCCCTGTCGCCCCCCGCCTGGCCTAGTCGCCCCGGCCCGGCCCTGTCGCACCAGCCCGGCCTTGTCGCGCCCGCCCGGCCCCGTCGCGCCAGCCCGGCCCCGGCGTCCTCGCCCGGCCCGGTAGCACAAGCCCGGCCCCGCTGCCCGGCCCCGCTGCCTGCTCCTGTCGCTCCCTCACTCACCCGACCCTCCTTTGGCACCACCGCCTAGGTCACCCTGCGCTCCCGCGTCTGCGTCACATGTCCCAGCACGGTCTTGTCCTTGGTCTCCCAGGTTCACTCCCCGCGTTTCCCTCCTCTCCAGCTCCACCTTGCACGCCTTGTGTCGAGGGTCGGCTTCGCCGTGCCCCTCACTCCTCCTCGTTCCCCCCTACCGCCGCGCCGCTGCAGACCCTGCACCTGGACGTCTGGGGCCCCGCCCCCGTCCCTGGGCCGCGTCGCGAGCGCTACTTCCTTGTGCTTGTCGACGACTTCACTCGTTACACCACAGTCTTTCCCCTGGAGCGCAAGGCCGACGTGCCTGGCGCCCTCATCCCCTGGCTTGTCTCTGCGCGTGTCCACCGCGGTCTCCCTCTCTTGCGTCTTCACTCAGACCGTGGTGGCGAGTTTGCCTCCGGTGTCCTTGGTCGCTTTTGTCGTGCGGAGGGCATCACCCAGACGTTCACCCTACCGGACTCCCCACAGCAGAATGGGGTCGCTGAGCGACGCATCGGTTTGGTCATGGAGGTCGCTCGCACCTCCATAGTCCATGCCGGTGCACCCCATTTTCTGTGGCCGTTCGCTGTGCGCTACGCTTCTCACCAGCTTAACATGTGGCCGCACCCTCAGCATCCGCAGGTTTCGCCGACCCGTCTGTGGACTGGGTCTCCTGGTGACGCGTCTGCGTTCCACGTCTGGGGCTGCCTTGCTCACGTCCGTGCCTCCGGCACGGACAAGCTCACTGCCCGCACTCTTCCCTGCGTCTTCCTCGGTTTTCCCCTTGACGCGTCCGACTGGCACTTTTACCACCCGCCGTCTCACCGCTTCTTTCACTCTCGTGACGTCACCTTTGACGAGTCCGTCTCCTACTACCGCCGCTTCCCCCACCGTGGTCCCCCGGTTACCCCCCCCCTGTTCCTGGTCACCCCTTCCCCGGTAGTCCCTGCCCCTCCTCCTCCTCCTCCCCGTCCCGCCCCCTCTGGTGTCTCCCACGTCACCCCCCTTCCGTCCGTGGACCCGGTTGAGGAGTCTTCTGACTCTGGTGGCCCTCCGGTGCAGTCCTCGCCGGCCGCCCCTCCCCAGGTGTCCCCTCCCCAGTCCCCTCCTCCGCCGCCCCTGCCGCCGCTGCAGCCGTCGCCGTCGCCGCTGCCGCCGCCGCCGCCGCCGTCGCCGCCCCCGTTCGCTGACTCTGGGGGTGCTCGTCCCGGTCGCCCTGCGGGTGGTCCCTCTGGGGGTGCGGGTGTGGAGAGTGCCGGTGGTAGCCGAGGAGCAGCTTGCGGTCCAGGTGTCGCCGTTGTGCCGCCGCAGCAGCAGTCCCCGCCGGTGTCCGCCCTTCGCCTGCTCGGCCTTCCGTCCCCCGACCCTGCGTCGGTTCCTCCCCGCCCGTCTCCTCCTCTTCCTGTCTACGGCCCTGTTTTCCCTCCGCCGGACTCGTCCCCGGCCCGTCTCCCCCCTCGTTCCCCTCCTGTGTCCCCTCCCCTGTCTCCTGACCCGACTCCTCCGTCCCACGTCTGGTCTCACCGTCCCTCCCGTGCTCGTCCTGCCTCGCCTGTCTTGCGCTCCCACCCTATGTTGCTTCGTTCACACGCGTCTCGTCCTCCCCTTCTGCCGTCACCTCCTCCGTCCTCCCTTGTTGTTGCGCCCCCCCCGCTGTCCGACTACCTTCGTGCCGCTCGTCCTCTCGTTCCTCGGGTCCTTGCCTCCCTCGTTACTGACCCGTCTGTTCCGGTCTCGTGCCTTGACGCTCTTGTCGCTGCTGTCGCTGACTTCGCCTCTACCCGCCGCCTTGACTACGCCACCGCTCTGGTCTCTGACCCTGCCTGTCCTCCGTCTGTCGGGGGTGCTCCTGCCCTTGGCAGTGACGTCCTGGAGGACCGCCAGTTCGAGCTTGCTTTCCTCTCCGAGGCTGCTCCCCATCTCTGTTCCATGCTACTAGTCCCTGAGGGTGACCCAGACGCTTTCGACATCCCGACCCCTCGCACTTACGCTGAGGCGACTTCGGGACCCTGGGCCTCGCAGTGGATAGCTGCCATGGAGCAGGAGATGGCATCTTGGAGATCCACCGGCACCTTCGTCGACGCAGTTCCCCCGCCTGGGGTGAACGTAGTCGATGGCCGCTGGCTCTTCAAGGTGAAGCGCCCTCCTGGAGAGCCGCCTGTCTTCAAGGCGCGCTATGTGGCTAGAGGCTTCAGTCAGCGCGAGGGGGTGGACTTCTTCCAGACTTTCGCTCCGACCCCGAAGATGACTACTCTTCGGGTTCTGTTACACCTAGCTGCTCAGCGTGACTACGAGCTTCACTCACTTGACTTCTCCACTGCCTTCCTTCAGGGCAGTCTACACGAGCAGGTCTACCTGCGCCGTCCTCCGGGCTTTACTGGCACCTTCCCTCCTGGGACCCAGTGGCTCCTGCGGCGCCCCGTCTACGGCCTGCACCAGGCTCCCCGTGAGTGGCACGACACTCTGCGTGCTACGCTTGCTGACCTGCAGTTCTTTCCGTCTTCTGCAGACCCTTCACTCTTAGTTTGTGCTGGCCAGACTCCGTTCTACATCCTTGTTTACGTCGACGACCTGGTCTTTGCCACAGCATACAGGGACGCGCTGGCCTCCGTGAAGGTAGAGCTGCTGAAGAGACACACCTGCACTGACCTTGGAGAACTGCGCCGTTACCTTGGCTTGCAGATCTCCAGGGACAGAGCTGCGCGCACCATCACCCTGACTCAGTCACACTTGGTGCGCCAGGTCCTTCAGAGGTTCAGCCTTCAGTTCTCCTCTGCACAGCCCACCCCTCTGCCTGTAGACCACAGGCTCTCCGCTCCAGTGCCTGAGGAGTTGGTAGAGCCCAGCGGCCCCTACGCAGAGCTGGTGGGTTGCCTCATGTACCTGATGACTTGCACTCGCCCAGATCTCGCATACCCTCTCAGCATCCTGGCTCGCTTTGTGGCCACAGGCAGACACCGACCGCAGCACTGGTCTGCCGCTAAGAGGGTTCTGCGTTATCTTGCTAGTACATCGGGCATGGGGTTAGTGCTAGGAGGACGCAGGCCAGCGATCCTTACTGGGCACACAGACGCTTCGTGGGCAGACGACGCTGAGACTCTCCGGTCTACCCAGGGCTACTGCTTCAGCCTTGGCTCAGGTGCCGTCTCGTGGAGAGCTACTCGCTCCTCGTCTGTTGCACAGTCCAGCTGTGAGGCTGAGATCTACGCCAGTGCCATGGCGGCACAGGAGCTCCGCTGGCTGACCTTCTTGCTCACTGACTTAGGTGAGCGGCCTAGCTCTGCCCCGGTCCTGTTCGCTGACAACAGGGCCATGATCCTCCTGTGTCAGGAGCCTCGACTCGAGGGCAGAGCGAAGCACATTCAGCTGCGGTACTTCCTCCTGCGTGAGCTACAGCAGCGACGTCAGGCTCGCGTAGTACACTTGGCCTCAGGTGCCAACACGGCTGATATCTTTACGAAGGCACTTGCGCCTAAAGATCATCAGCGGCACTGTGTACAGCTTGGTCTAGTTCCTGTAGCCTCTCACTTGCTAGGACCTTGACTTTGTACTATCCTTTATATGTATACTCAGACTGGACTTGTGTCCTCTCCCAGTGGCTGGACTAGTAGTACCGCCCTGCTCTTGTGCTTGCCTTGTCTGTACTCCTTCTGACTGGTCGCTCAGACCCTTGTCTCAGAGGTTGGACTAGTAGTGCCGCCCTGAGCTGTTTGTTTAGGACTTTCCCGTATGCAGTCTAGGGGGTGTGTCAAACATGTCTATGCGTTATGTTTGTATAGACTGTATAGGGTAGCCTCTTAGAGGGTACAACACTTAGCTATATTGTGTGTACTGTCTCTGTATCAACAACACCTCAATTTCTGATAACTTCAACTCAGTTACTGCCCTACAACTGAAATGGCCGCAGACTATCTGACGAAGAAATTGGCGAAGGCAAAAATCGATTACTGCATGCTGCTGACCGGGCAGACAAACGTCACCGGATCTGAACACGTCAGCACTCCAGAAACGAAGGGGAGTGTTGGAAATGTCTCAAAGGACTTGCGTTTCTGAAGTGTAACACTACTCGAGGAAGATCGCAACGGGTACGCGAGTCAACGGAGGTTACACGAGGGGATGGGCAAAGAACGCGAAGGGACTCGAAAGGTCGCAACTGGAGGTTGCGACTGACCGTTACAACATCGCGGATGGTAACCGAAGCGACAATCGAGTCGTTGTGCGACTCGATAACCGCTCCTGCAACTGTATTCTACAACTGCTTTCTTATTTTCTATATATTGCTGTATGCTTGTTTCTTTAATCAATCACTTGTTCTCATATACTAGTACAAGGGTTCAAACTACTCAACTTCCGCTGCACTACTCAAGTCTCATTCTTCAACTGGGACTTAGTCTCTGGAAAGATCCTAAGGGCTTTTTCTCAGCCCAACATAGATGATGTTCATGTTCTACACTCCTTCAGTCAGAGTACACTTGCATGGCAGCATAGTTCAAGTAGATAACATTCGCTTGCAAGTGCATTTGGTACAACTACAGCGAACAGGCAAGCGAGAATGGTATGGGCTTGGAAGTGGAACAGCTAGCTCATTTGTCACAACACAACACCACGGTTCATTGGAACAAACGAGTGCCGCTGAACAAAGGTGATGCGTCCCAACAACGCTTGATGCAGTTCTGAGGAGGTGCAGTCGTGGCTTACCATTGACGTGCATGCTTCCCTCATCTGTCCCGCCATGCATTCGTCATCGTGCCCTCACTCACAGCTCCTGCTGCCCCAGCCATGGCCCACTCCTCACATGGGATCTCCACCACCATCATTAAGCCTCCCATCCTAACTTATCTTACCCCCCTCCCCCATTTTTCATCCTTACAGCTCTCCAGCTTCCCCCGCCCCATCCTTGCAACCATCACTCATCCCGTCAATCAGCCTCTACCTTCACGCCATTTTTACCTCCTGCTCCTCTTTCTCTCCCTCTTTTCGTACCTCTTGTACTTCTCACTCCTCTCCTCTTCCTATGCCCAATCAAGCTCCCACCTGCGCCTTCGCCATATTTCTCCTCCATTTTCTCTCCCTCGCCCACACTCGCTCTCCTCTCCCCTTCACCCACCCCACAGGGCCCTACCCCAGCCTCACTGACTGAGTACCGAACCACATCTGTCAGCATCTCATAGGCCACGACATGCCACGTAGGACCCGTCTTCTTGCTCTGCTGCCCTGGCGTGTGCATGTGGTTCTTGGGTGCCTGCCAATGTGCTGAGCATTCTGTAAGACGGACATGTGGCCCTTGAGCCCTGCTGTTCTCCCTGCTGCTGCTGCTGCTGCTCGTGTGGCCTTGCTGCCCTTGTTCCCATGGGAGTTCCTCCCCTGGTGGTTGCTCAAGCACTCGCACGCTCCCCACTGCCCGGCCTTCCCAGTACCTGTGCCCTGCTTGAGCTCTGCTCTCTGCTGCATGTGGTGCTGTGGGTTCTGGCTCTGCTGCTTCTTCTGATGATGCAACCTCTGGTTCTTGTTCAGGTGTTGGTTCGGGTGCCGGTTCAGGTGCTGGCTCGGGTGCTGGCTCGGGTGCTGGCTCGGGTGCTGGCTCGGGTGCTGGCTCGGGTGCTGGCTCGGGTGCTGGCTCGGGTGCTGGCTCGGGTGCTGGCTCGGGTGCTGGCTTGGGTGCGGTAGGTGGCATCTGAGCTGGTGGTGGTGGCGGAGTGTTGTGGCATGGCATGGCCTGTCCTTCTCCTCGCACTGCTGTGCTCGTTGGCTCCTGGAAGGAAGGGGGGGAGGTGTGAGTTCGGGTACACACAATGCATGCCCATGTGATGACCTGTGAATAGCAATGTCACAGGTCATTGGCATGTATGGGAACATGTGAGAGCAACAAGGAGGACTGAGAGCAGCATATCCGCAGGGAGGGATTGAGTAGAGAATGAGTTGGGGGTGAAGTGATGACGGGGTGGTTGGATGGAGGGATGAAGTGAGAAAGACAACGGGGAGGGGTGAGTGAAGGGAGGACATAGTGGGAAGAGCAGCGGAGAGGAGAGGGCAATCTATGGCAAGAGTGTGCGCACTTGATGTGGAGCGATGGCATGGTGGAGGGTGATGGGGTTGCATTGGTAGCCTTCAGTGAAATTGAACGTAAAAGTGATGGCCCCTGATGGTGTCACATGCCGCTGCTGCTGCTGCTGCTGCTGCTCCTCTTCATCCTCATCCTGCATCTGTAATTGGAAGGTCCTGTCGAGGGGCAGACACCAGGAATCAGGGCCTAGAGCACAGGGGCGGAGTGGCCAATCACATGCCAGCCATACGGTCAGAGCCCACCTGTTGAAAGCGTACGGTGGGGATGAGAGCTGGAGCTCATCTAACAGCCAGCGATCAGGGAAGGACACCTGTTGCTCCAGGGGGAGGATATAAGGGAGCGATGGATGAGGCGAGATAGGGATAGGTCACTGAAATGGATGGGTGGGGGGTGAGCAACCACTGAAGAAATGGTAGAGAGTGGTGGAGAAAAGCAGCGGCGGTGACATGTGGATAAGAGACAGATAGCAGCAGAGGCACCTGGATGCAGTCGAGAGACGGAAGGGGCGCGAGGGGCCCTAGTGTGCTCTCCACAGCCACACGCAGCTGCCACCGCTGCTGGAGCACGGGGTGTTGGGGCAACACGCAGGAAGGAAGGGACTGCTGGTCATACTCCAAGCATAGTCATGATTGCTGGTTATGCAGCTGCTGATGACACTGATTCACACATGCACACTAAGAACGTGATGGCAGCCACAGCAGGTGAGACAAGCACAGAACAGGCAATGAGAGGGCTGCCAGCCTATCTGGCTACATGGCAGGAGCCAGTAACGCATGTTCACACATTTGAGGTTGGGCTGTCCGCACTTGCACTTGCCAGCGATGATGGGTGTGCTGCCTGAAGCTTCTTGCCTGCTCGCTTGCCTCGGGGCTGGGCGGCTGGTGGCAGGGGAGGAGGAGAATTAGCAAGGGAGGGGAGAGGACCAACTGGAGCAGGAGGGAGAATAGGGGAGAAGAAGGGGTGTGGTTTGAGCTCGAGCAAAGAGAGCAGCAGAAAGAATGCGATGGTAGGAGGTTGAAGGGGGTAATCAGGTGGGGGGTGAGATTGCTCACGAGTTAGGCAGTGGCGTATGCAGAGGCAGTAGGTGCGGTAGAAGGGAGGCACGGTGAGATGCAGGCACGCCATTAGGTGAGCCATCACCTGCAGTCATGCACACACGCACACAGGCAGGCAGGCACAAGCGCAAAGATGCAAGAGTGGAAGAGGCAAGCACAGGATGCAGCAGAGAAGGAGAGCATGCAGGCAAGACATGCAAGGGTTGCATGCAGGAAAGGCAGTAGGGGCAGGACGGATCAAAGCATGCAAGGAAGTGGCAAGAGGGGCAGAAGACATGCATCTTTTACTGCCGCACATGCCTAAGGACAAGGCGTTAGTAAAAAGGTGCTGGTAAACAAACGTTTTAGAGGCTAGTGCTGCAGCAGTGCTATCACTCACTTGATCCACCCGAGCTCCAATGACCAGCGATGCCTTCTTGTCCTTGGGGGTCTTCTGCTCTACCACACACGCATGCACGCACAGGGACACATACACATACAGAGAGACACACATTCTCGAAATCACATGTCTTGTCGCTGCGGGCGCATTGTACAATGGACAAAGAAACCTTTGCGGAACCAACCTCCTGAGAAGTCACCTGACAATGAATCCCCTGAAATAACACCTTCGAAATCCCCTGGAACCACCCACAAAATACCTCCGCATAACCTCCGAATTACGTGGGCGCCACCTGGGAATCACCTGGCCATCACCTGGGAATCACCTGGGCATCACCTGGAGGTTGACAATGACCATCCGCCCCCCATTGCGCAGCGCTCGCAGGGGAAGGTTGGCCGCTGGGGTGATCTGAAGACTGGTGCGCGGGAAGCACAAGGGCATGACGAGACGCATGACGAGACGAGCAGCACAGGACGGGAGAGATACAGGTTCAGGAATGACCAGACCACTTGAAAGGGAGCAAGGGGCGAGAGACGAAGAGAGAAGAGGCAAGGGCCATGAGCGATGTGAAGGGTGTATGTGCTGAGGCGTGCACACATGATGCACATGCATGAAGGGCGCTGGAAGAACGGGAGGCCGGGGGGTTGGGAGCCGGTCAGGAACGGAAGCAGGGAGAAGGGGAAGGAAGGGATGCAGGGAGGGAGGGAGGTGGGCACCTGGTGGCGAGGCACAGCACGAGGTCGGCCTGGGAGCACTCCTCCTCTGCCCGAGACAGCTCCGCAGGGGGCAGCGCGTCCTGGTGGGCGGGGGTGGCATGGCACTAGAGAGTTGACGCGTAGGGGGCAAATTCGGGAATGAGCGGCACGGAGAGAAGTGGGGCCATGGAGGGGAGGCAAGGAAGGGAAGGGAAGGCATTGGCAGCAGCCGTTGAGCGCGTATCAGATCGCCGATGCCCACCTCCCAGTCCAGCACGGAGTCCCTGAGACGTGGTGGGGTGCCCAGGGCGAGGCACGCAGCGGACGTGCAGCGGCGCCGAGAGGCCTTCTGACCGATGCTCTCCAACTCGAAGGACCGCTGGTACCTGGGGTGATGTGAGAATGCATGCAAAGAAGGTGGTTAGGGAAGCGAGGGAGTTGATCAGTGGATGCATGAAAGGTGGGGAAAGGGAAAGGGCAGTACCGGATCATGGCATGCACACAGGAGTGTCACAGGGAAGGCAACTTGCGCATGAAAGGACCAGATGGAAAAGAGTCACATGAATGAGCGAGTGAGAGTGCGACTGGGCGAGTGACCGAGCAGCGCACGAGCAGCGCACGAGCAGTGCACGAGCAGCGCATGCGCAGCGCACAAGCAGTGCACGAGCAGTGCACAAGCAGCGCACGAGCAGTGCACGAGCAGCGCATACTCGGCCCCGCATCGGTGGCACAGCTCCCTGAAGCAGCTGCCATGCAGCTCCACCAGATGGCTCCGCAGCACACCCGAGCGCGCATGCAGGCCATCCACGTTCTGCCATTTAGGCGAGGAGAGGGGAGAAGGAGGGAGGTAGGGGAGGGAGTAGAGGGGAGGAGAGGGAAGAGGAGAGAGGAGAAGGGAGGCGGGGGGGTTGGGGAGGGACCAGGAAGGAGAGTGCGAGACGAAAATGAAGAGGTGGTTGAGAGCAGAAGGGGACCACATGGAGAAGAGAAGGAAGAGTGAGGAGGGAGGACTCTCTCATTCTCTCCCTGTCTCTCTCACACACACACTCACACCCTCTCTCACTCCCGCACGCCCTACCTGGCTGACAATGCAGTGCAGCCGTCCCAGTCGGAGCAGCTGCACGAGCGCCATGTGGGTGAGCGACGGCACTGCATCCCCAAACGACTTCATAGTGCTAGGCAGCGGCTCTCCCCGCCGCTGATGCACAGCCACAGACACCGACCGATGCATGCACAGACAGAGAGGCAAGCAGACACAGAAGCATCAAGAGGAAGATGCAGATGGTGGTGGAACGAGTAAAGACGAGAGGAGGGGGTACGATGAAAGGTGATGCGGGGAAAGCAGCAAGTGCAGCGTCCATCCGCCCTACCTGCAGCGTCCATATGCCCGTGGGCCCTCGGAAGTCCGGTACGCCTGCTGCTGTGGAGATGCCCGCCCCTGTGAACGCCACTACTCGCCGGCTCTTCCATGGGGAGGGAGGGGGTGCAGGAAGGAGGGTGACGGGGGGGAGGAGGAGGCTGGTTGACGAGGGAGGGGGTGAGGGGGACCGGGGTAGGCTGAAAGGGGGGGCAGAGAAGGACATGGGGGCATGTATGCATGTGGCGAGGGATTCACAAGCCACGGGTGACGACGAAGAGGGGTGAAGGTGTGGCGGAAATGATAGATGCTGTCCGTAAAAAGATGGCGCGGGAAGTGATGGTGGCATGCGTGGATGGCGAGGAGAGAAAGGACGGCAGCCTGCAGGAGCGCAAGAAAGGAGACTCACGGATTTGAATATGCCCACGAGCTGGTGCAGCTGCCACGACACGACACGGTGATTGGTACGGCGCAGCAGCCGATGGCGTGGGAGGGGATTGGAGGAGATAATCGGGGAATTAAGAAGCGGGTGAGTATGTGAGCAAGCCGGCACAGCACTGTGATATTGTGGGGGTGTCAAAGACAGCAGCCAAACCTGCTTGACTGGAACCTCTCTCACTCTCTTCCTCTCTCAGGCTCACTCTCATCCTCCCCACGACTGGCGGGTGGCACAGACCTTGCGCCTAAGAGCCTCCCCCGAGTCCTCATATTCCGGCGACCCCACCGTCCCCACGTCCTCGCGGTACGACAGCTTCGCCGCGTAGCCCGCCGACATGCCTACGAGCTGCACACGCCGCACAGGCCGCACAGGCCTCCGTCACCGGGGCTCGCGGCCGCAAAGCGGTCGCTAGGTCGAGTCAAGGACGCTCTGAACAAGCCGCGCCGAGTCCGCACAATTTCAGACCGTGTCGCGAGTGCAGACGCCTCTTTGATCAGTGCACACAATTGTATTCAAATTAGCGCGGGCCAAAGCACGAATCGCTACTCTGAGTGCGCCATGTGGCTGTGTCGCGACTGTCCCTAGTCTGTTGTTACCCTTGTCGAAATCACTTGCGCGCTTTCCCCAATTTGTCTGCGCAGCTTCACGGTGTGGTTTGGGAAGGTTCCAAGTGGACTCGGTGGTTACCATTACATGCGAAATGACGGCTGTGTTCTACAGGCATTTGACGTCGACGTCGACGTCGACATTGAGGAAGCTCCTCAAGCGACTTCTAGAGCACTGGTTACCACTCAAACCAGGTGCACTTTCCAAACCTCTCTTGGAAGCAACGCGCCAAACTGTGGAAAGCGCGAGCGAAAGGAGAGAGGAGCCAAATTGAGGCTGATGTAATGCCACACGCAAGGTGAACTCCGCGATTTAGCGAACGTCAGCATTGCGTCACCTTTGCGTCAAATTTGCCAGGGAGGGAAGCGAGGGGGGTGTTTCCCTGACGTAGATGTCATCTGTACATGGACCTGTTCTGCAGGCATGTTGATGTAACTAGGTTCGGGTACCTTGTGCCAGGTTTGGACGAAATTTTGCGGGCTGACCCTCGATCCGAAGCAAAAAATCAGGCTTTCGGAAGGTGCTCTGATGTAATCTGCACTTTCCTTTTCTGCCTGCAGAACGCAGCCTACAGGCATTAGACGTTGACGTCGACGTCGACATTGAGGAAGCTCCTCAAGCGACTTCAAGAGCACTGGTTACCACCCAAAACCAAGTGCACTTTCTCAACCTCGCTTGGAAGCCATGCGACCAAATTGTGGAAAGCGAAAGCGAAAGGAGAGAGGAGATAATTTCGAAATTGCGCAAAAAAAAAACTGCTGCCCTACGGCAGGAGAGAAATTATCCGGGGCAAAATGACGAAAAAAAGTTCAGCTGAGATATGACTCGTTGGCGATGGGTTTGTTCAGCTGCTGTTTTTTTGCAGGGCAGGCCCAAGCTCGCGAGGGGGGTAGAGTGGTGGCGGTTGTATTTCTGGGGTGTGGAGGCCTAGTACACCCTTGCGGTTGATGTAACGCCACACGCAAGGTGGACTTCGTGATTAAGCGAACGTCAGCATTCCGTCAAGTTTGCGTCAAATTTGCCAGGGAGGGAAGCGACGGGGGTGTTTCCCTGACGTAGATGTCATCCGTAGATGGACCTGTTCTGTAGGCATGTCGACGTAACTAGGTTCGGGTACGTTGTGCCAGGTTTGGGCGAAAATTTGCGGGCTGACCCTCTATCCGAAGCAAAAAATCTCGCTTTCGGAAGGTGCTCTGATGTAATCTGCACTTTCCTTTTTTGCCTGCAGAACGCAGCCGACATTGACGTCAACACTTCACTACCATTCGAATGTCGCATCAACCTTGTATCGAGAACGAAATCAACAGCAGGATTCAATCGAAGGTTACCCTTTTCCACCTGGGCGGAACTGGCGCGGGTTTGATTGAATCCCGCTGTGGTCAGTTACAGCCGCCCTTGTCCCATCCGTGGCGGCGGACCCCTGTGAGTGAATTGTTGGCGAAAGCATTGCCCCACAGCACATGGTGCATGTCTCGTGCGATTTCTCTCCCGAGGTGTTCCTGCGCAGAAATTCTGCAGTATTTCTGTATCATCCGCAAATCACCACCAAAAGCGCCAGACCTTTCCATTTCAAAGTTCCTAAATGCTCCCCCTACGAGACCCCCCTGCCGATTCTTCACAGCCCCTCATCCCTGACAGCCGTATGGCCCTCGATGCACCTCAACCGTCCGATCGTCCCTCTCAAAGCGATCAAGCCGTCGCTGGCTCATCAGTTTCACTTATCTCGGGAACGCCGCGTGGCGACGTGTCGGTGATTCTTCATACCCCCGAAAGGCCGCGGAGTCACGGAGAGGACGAGCGCCAGGAGAGGGGAGATGGCGCGCAAAGCGCAAAGAGGGGGCAGCATGATTCCGCTCAAGCGCAAGCGGAATTCCCCGCCAGCGGCGCAACTCGAGCGCGCATGCCGTGGTGGGGCGCTCCCCTTCTCTGCATCGCTCTCGTCGCCGTCTCCTCTGCCGGCGCCGTTACCAAAATCATTCGCGACGCCGATCCCGTCGCCATCGCGAGCTGGCGACTGCAGGCGACGTCGCTCGTGCTCCTCCCGGGTTTCGGATTCGAGCTGATCCAGTGGCTGCTGACGTGGAGCAGACAGCGCCGTAGTGGCGAGCGCATCGCTCATCCAAGTCATAGCTTGGATCGACGAGGGGAATCTCGTGAGGAAATCGAGTCCGCGCCCATCCTTCTTCCTGAGGAGGATTCAGAGATTGCTGGGAACGAACAGCAACGGCGTGCCTGCACCACGCCTATTAACTCATGCACCGGTGATCTCTCTCCCTCTGGTCCGCACCAGGGCCTCTTCTCCCCTCCACTCCCCCCTCCGTTCACTCTCTTCCTCCTCCTCCTCCTCTCCGCCTGCGCGCTCGCCCTCCACTTCGCCCTTTGGATTCTCTCCCTGCGCCTCACCTCGCTCGCCCACTCCCTCCTCTTCGTCTCCACGCCCCCGCTCCTCCTCTCCCTCGCGCACCTCCTCTCAGGCGCGCCCCTCTCCTGCGCAGAGGCGCTGGGGACGCTGCTGGGGGGGCTGGGCGCAGCAGTGGTGGCGATGGGGGGGAGTGCGGGGTCCGGCAGGGGAAAGAGTGGCTATGATGATGATGATGATGATGATGTGTCTGTGGGAGGGGATATGGCAGCACTGCTAGCAGCAGCAGCGTTTGTGGTGTACGTGTGGGTGGGAGGGCGAGTGCGAACGTCCCTCCCACTGCATCTCTATGCTCTGCCGGTGACCGCAGCTGCTGGAGCCATGCTTGCTGCTGCCGCCACCCTCACACCCCTCCTGGACCCCTCGCATGCATGCCCTCCCCATGCCATCACAGCAGCACATGCCGCTGCTGCAGGAGCACCAGTACCCATCATGGCACCATTCGCAACATCCACTGGTGGAGCATTGGTGGGGATCGGGACAGGAGCAGGAGCAGGGGCAGGTGAAGCACTACTGGCATCGCCACAACTACCCCCACTGCCACAGCCGCCACTGCGTCTGCCTCCACCATCGTCCTCCCACTGTACGGCATGGCAGCCACTTGCCTGGCTCTCCCCCCCCTTCCTCGCACCCACTCTCTTCCTGGCCCTTGGCCCCGGGTACATGGGCCACACAGGGCTCAACGCCCTGCTGCGCTACACCACGCCCCTCGTCATCGCCATCGCTATCACTGTAGAGCCGCCACTCGGCTCGCTGATTGGCTGGGCTATTGGCCAGTCAGGTGCTCCGGATGCAGCTACGTGGGTGGGGGGGTTGCTGATGGTGGGTGCCACGCTGTGGGTGGCGCTGGAAGGACAGGAGAGGGCCAGAGGCCGGCACTAACGACCTTGTGGTCGCAAGGCAATACTCTCAGAGTAACGAATTAGCTAGAATGTGAGATACAGTGTGGTTTTGTGCTGAGGGGTTGTACTCTCTAAGAGTACGTTCCTATCTAGCCTATAGCAATATACACACATATGTTTGACACACCCCCTAGGCTAGATGAGGGGCAGTGCCTGGCAAGAGACATGCAACTCAGGGTGGCACTGCTAGTCCAACCTCTGAGGCAAGGGTCCGAAGGCCATGCAGCAAGAGTACAAACTAAACAAGAGTAACCCAGGGCGGGACTACTAGTCCAGCCATTGGAATAAGAGCCACAAGGCTAGTCTTGTACGCTCTGCCCCGGTCTTGTACGCTGTTAACAGGACCATGAGTATGTAAGCAAGAGCAAGCTACACCCACCTGCCTGGACTGCACCAAGAGCAAGCTCAGGCAGCAGCCGCACCCTTCCTCCCCATCCGTCGCAGCTGCTCCGCTGGACCTAGTGCACATGGATGTCTGGGGCCCAGCTCCAGTCACATCCCGTGGCGGTCATCGATACTTTCTTACACTAGTCGATGACCACTCGCGGTATGTTTCCGTGCACCTCCTGCATACCAAGGCGAAGGCACCTGACGTCATCATGGCATGGGTGCGCCAGGCTCAAGTCACGTTCGGCACTCCTCTGAAGTGCCTCCATTCTGATGGCGGGGGAGAATTTTGCAATGGCAAAATCGATAACTTCTGCGCGGCCCAAGGGATTCGGCAAACCTTCACGCTCCTCGAAAGCCTGCAACAGAACGGCATTGCAGAGAGCCGCAACCACACCTTGGTTCAAATCGCTCGCTGCCTCCTCAGTCACGCCAGTGAACACCACACCTACCACTCTCTGGCTTGGGGCCACGCCCTCCGCCCGCTCTCTACGTGTCTGAGGGTGTACTGCATATGTGTTGCTCAGCTCCCACACGCGTAGGAAGCAAGGTGGCAAGCTTGGTCCCAAAACCCAGACCTGCATGTACCTGGGACACAACTCCGATTCCCCAGACTACTTATTCATCAACCCCATCACCAGACAGCTGATTCGCAGCCGTGATGTCGTCTTCGATGAGACACGCCCCTTCCACTCTGCGACCACGGGCGAGCATCGTCCACCTCCCCCGACGCTTGTATGGGCAGACTTCGATGCCCCACCTCCGGCCGCTGCCCCTTCTCCGGGGCCTTCTCCGTCCGGCGTGTCTCACCCGGCCTCCTCGGTATCCTCCGCAGCAGCACCTCCTCCTGCTCTGCCTTCCCCACGCGTCGAGCCCAGCTCACCAGTCTCCTACCGGAAGCGCCCAGTCCCTTTGGTCCCACTGCAACCGCCTTTGTCTTCGGTCTCTAGTCGCACTCGTTCCAAGGGATCGGCCCCGCCTCTCGCCTGGGGACCAGCCGCCTTCTCCATCCAGTGTTCGGTCACCCCGCCTCCTCCTGCCGGGGATGATGTCCCCTCCATCCGTATTCCCCCCCCCGTGCACTTCTGGAGGACAGGCATGAGGAGCTGTTTGACCTTCATGCGGTCTGCCAATTTCTCTCTCACATCTTCCCGGACATTACTGACTGCCCTTCCCTCAACTTCACCGAGAACCCGACCATTCCGACTCCTCGCACAAAAGAGGAAGCTCTCTCGGGGCCTTATAAAAAGGAGTGGAAGGCAGCAATGGATGTGGAGAACGAGGCGTTCATTCGCAACAACAGCTTTGACAATGTCGTTCCCCCTTCCGGTGTTAACATCGTCGGCGGAAAATGGATCTTCCGAGTCAAACAACTCCCAGGCGAAGCTCCACTGTTCAAGGCACAATACGTGGCGAAGGGTTTCACCCAGAAGGAGTATCTCAACTTCTTCGAAACATTCTCGCCCACGGCCAAGCTCCCGACTGTGCGCGCTCTTCTTGATATAGCCGCTCGCGGCAACTTCGAGATCAAGTCCATGGACGCCTCCTCCGTTTTTCTCCAAGGCCAGCTCAAGGAGGATGTACACATGGAACGCCCATCGGGGTTTCCTGGCACTTATCCTGCCAACACAGTGTGGAAACTGAAGCGGCCAGTGTATGGCCTCAAGCAGGCTCCTCGTGAGTGGCACAACAAGGTGAAGAAAGTCCTCCTCGCACTTGACTTTCATCCCTCCGCCTCAGATTCCAGTCTTTTTGTTCGTCACTCCTCCGAGCCCTTCTACATCCTCATCTACGTCGACGACTTCATTCTAGCCGCCAGAGATCCAGCCAAGATGGCAGCTGTCCAGTCTGCTCTCAGCTCCGCCCTTCTCATGAAGGATCTTTGTGTCCTCAAGAACTACCTAGGGATGGAGATCACTAGTGACCGCCAGGCTTGCACGATCACCCTCTCCCAAGAGTCCTACATCGACAACCTTCTCAAGCGGTTCGACATGGAATCCAATAACTCTGTCTCGACTCCTTTCCCACTATAGCATCAGCTCACAGCCCCTCCAGTTCCTTCTCCTGACACCAGCAAAGACCCGTACCCTGAGCTAGTCGGTTCACTCATGTATGCCATGATGTGCACTCGACCAGACTTGGCTTACCCGGTTAGTGTCCTCTCTCGGTACGTCTCCCCCGGACGCTACACTGCCTCGCATTGGTCTGCAGCCAAGAGGGTCCTCCGCTATCTACAAGCCACCAAGTCTCACATCCTCACTCTTGGTGGTACCTCTCCAGTCAAGCTCGAGGGATACACAGACTCCTCATGGGCCGATGACCAGACTGACAGACGCTCCTCCCAAGGGTACTGCTTCACTCTTGGTAGCGGAGTCATCACCTGGCGTTCCACTCGGTCCTCTGCAGTCTCCATGTCGTCCTGCGAGGCCGAGCTCTACGTAGGCACAATGGCTGCTCAAGAGGCACGCTGTCTCTCCTTTCTCCTCGCTGAGTTAGGCTACCCCCAGCAGTCGCCCACCCTATGGTGTGACAACCAGAGCGCCATTCACCTCACCAAGGATCCTGTATTCCACTCTCGCACCAAGCACATTGAACTTCGTAATTTCTTCATCCGAGATCTTGTTCAGAGTGACGAGCTGACGGTACGGTACATCACCTCAGATTGCAACCTCGCCGACCTCTTTACCAAGGCTCTTGGCAAGGCTGACCACCATCGCCTTCTTCGTTCCATGGGGCTATGTGCTCCTTGACCGGGTTTTGCAGTCTATGGGGGTGTGTTAGAAATAGATTGCAAATCCTACTTTTGTATTTGTACTTTTATATCCTAGTTTAGGTTAGGAATGTTCTAGTGGGTTGGGGTGTACTCACAAAATCCCAACCTCACCCAATTGTGATCCCCCCAATCTCCAATTACCCAATTTGAGATTCCAGAGATCCCAATGGGGATTCCCTCCGATTCCCCCTTCATCCATTCTCCCTTACCTTGCCATGTACTTATAGAGTCTTGGGCTCTTTACCTAATCAATCATTTAAGCTCTCTTTCTTACACGCTTTACCTTGAAAAGCCACCGGACATCGATTATGTTCACCCCAGGTGGGGGAACTGCGTCGACGTAGGTGCCAATGGATCTCCAAGATGCCATCTCCACGTCCATGGCAGCTATCCAGTGAGACGCCCAGGGTCCCGAGGTCGCCTCAGCGTAAGAGCAGAGGGTCGGGATGTGAAGGGCGTATGGGTCACCCTCAAGGACTAGCAGCATGGAGCAGAGATGGGGAGCGTCCTCAGACAGGAAAATGAGCTCGTACTGCGGGTCCTCCAGGACGTCACTGCCAAGGGCAGAAGCACTCGCGATGGACGGAGGGCGAGCAGGGTCAGAGACCAGAGAAGTGGCGTAGTCAAGGTGGCGCATAGAGGCAAAGTCAGTGATGGCAACGACCAGAGCAGAGAGACTAGAGACAAGAACACACGGGTCGGTAACAAGGAAGGCAAGGACACGAGGAACCAGATGACTAGCGGCACGAAGAAAGCCAGACAAAGGAGGCGGAGCGACAACAAGCGATTATGGAGGGGGCGACGGGAGGAGAGGGGAACGAGACGCGTGAGAACAAAGCAACATAGAGTGAGAACACTGAGCAGGAGAAACAAGACGAGTAAGAGAGGCACGGTGAGACCACCAGTGGGAGGGTGGGGTCAGGTCAAGAGTCAAGGGTGGAGAAACAGGGGGAGAACGAGGGGGGAAACGAGCTGAAGACGAGTCCGGCAGAGAAAACGCATGGCCGTAGACAGGCGGGGGAGGCGACGGCAGGGGAGGCGCAGGCGGGTGGTCAGGGGTGGGAAGATCGAGGAATGGAAAGGCGGACACCGGCGGGGACTGCTGCTGCTGCTTCTACTACTGCTGCTCCTCACTGACACCAAAACCTTCAGTTGCAGCACGGCTACCTCCGGGACTCTCCACGCCAACACCCCCAAAACGAGAACCCGTTCCAGCACCAGTGCCACCCCCATGTTCGCCGGGACAAGCCACGACAGTACCCCCAGAACCAGCACCCTCTACAGCACCGGTGCCACCCCAAGGACCGCCGGGACAAGCCACGATAGTACCCCCAGGAATAGCACCCTCCTTAACGCCCGCACCCCCAAAGCTCGCGGACCCCTACGTCGGCTGCTGCTCTTGCGGTTGCGACGGCGGCTGCTGCTACGATAGCGAAGGAGGGGACATCAAGGCAAAGACAAGCGGCGAAACTGAAGCCGCAGAGCCCCTGCAGTCAGCCAACTCCTGCACCGGGACAATCGACGGTAGGGGAGTGACGTGAGACATACCAGATGGGGCAGGACGGGGAGGAAGAGGAGTAGGGGCTACCGGGGGAGTGGGGACCAAGAACAGGGGGGGGGAACCGGGAGACCTTGGTGAGGAAAGCGGGTGTAGAAGGAGACAGACTCGTCAAAAGTGACATCACGAGAGTGAAAGAAACTGTGAGACGACGGGTGGGAAAAGTGTCAGTCAGACGCGCCGAGGGGGAAGCCAACGAAGATACAAGGGACAGTGCGGGCAGTGAGCTTGTCTGTGCCAGAGGCACGAACGTGAGCAAGGAAGCCCCAGACGCGTCTTCAGGGGACCCGGTCTAGAGGAGGGTCGGCAAAACCTGCGGCCGCTAGGAGTGCGGCCACAGGTTAAGCTGGTGAGCGGCGTAGCGAACAGCAAACGACCACCAAAAATGGGATGCACCGGCATGGATCACGGAGGTACGCGCCACCTCAATGACCAAACTGATGCGTCGCTCAGCAACCCCATTCTACTGCAGGTAGTCCGGCAGGGTGTACGACTGGGTGATGCCCTCCACACAACAGAACTGGCCAAGCCGTCCGGAGGCAAAATTGCCGCCGCGGTCGAAGTGGAGACGAAGCATTAGCAAGCCGCGGTGGACGTGCACAGCTACGACCCAAGGGATAAGAACATCAGGCATGTCGGCCTTCCGCTCCCGGGGAAACACCATTGTGTAGCACGTGTACTCATCGATGGGCACTAGAAAGTAGCGCTCTCGACGCGGCCCATGGACGGGGGCTGGGCCCCAAATGTCCACGTGCAGGGTCTGGAGTAGCGCACTGGTGGGGAACAACGAGGAGGAGTGGAGAGCCACGAGGAGGAGTGAGGAGCATGGCGCAGCCGGCCCTTGACACAGGGCATGCACGGCAGCGCGGGGGGGGGAGGGAGGGCAGGGAGCGACGCAGGAAGACCTAAGACAAGACCATGCGGGGACATGTGACGCAGACGTGGGAGTGCGGGGTGGCCTAGGTGGTGGTGCCACATTAGGGATGGATGAGTGAGCGACTGACACGAGCAAGTCGCAGCGACCTGAGTAGGCGCGGCCACCTGGGGGGACACTCCCACCGGGGGGGAAGCGGTGTCTAGCGTGAATAGGCCAGACACCAAGTCCCAAGGGAGCATGGTGAGGGGGGCACCAGTGGCGGCCTCCGTACAGACCGCGTACCGCTCGTGTCCAGGGAACGTAGTGGTGACGCCGAGGTCCTGAAGACAGCCGACACCAACTACATTTCTGGAGAACGAGGGGATGTGCAAGCAAGTAAAAGAGCCTGAGGGAACCGCCGGACAGTGAAGGGTGGTGGAGCTACGTGCAACTACCGGACCTGAGAAGGGGTCAGCAAGTGCTACAACGGCAAGTGCGGCAAGTGGCCTGAGTGCAGTGTGGTCGCGAAAGAAGCAGGCGGACGCACCAGAGTTTAGCGTGAAAGAGAGCATGGCGGTAGCGACCATAGGAGGAGGAGCTAGAGTGGAGCAGAGGCTAAACAAAGCGGGTGGTCCTACGCCTGACGTAGCAGAGGAACCTTGGCTATACACAATGGACACACCTACATTAGGCAACACAGAGCAATAGGATCACACTAGAGTCATCTGCATACATGACATACATGGCTGACCTAATGTGATCCATATCAAGCTTAAAGACATGGACACGGTGACGCACCAGGCTGTACCAGTTGAGGGGGTCTGACGTGGGGCCGAAGCAGAGACGGAAGAGGTCGCAGACGGTGTCGCGGTGGGGGCCGGACTAAAGCTGGTACTGGCAGGTGACCACACTAGAACCGCCACCTGACACCAAGCTGCGCGGCCCACCACCACCAGCGCCGCCAGGCCACCATGGCGTCAGGGCTCCCCACGGCTGCTACTGCTGTGGAGTCTGCTGCGCCTGCTGCTCCAGGGTATCAGCCCCGGTCCCCTCGTCTGCACCACCGTCCCCACCACCACCACTGCCACCTCTGCCACCCCCACCACTCTCGCCACCCTTCCCTTCTCCATGTCCCCCCTTGGGGCGGCGACCCTTACCCTGACGCGGCTGCGCTGAGGCCGCAGCGGCGGTCTCATCAGCAGGGGCTGTCTCAGCGACAGCGACAGAAACATCAAAGTAAGTGCACTTGGAGGGAGCACAGCCCTGGAAGATAGGGACTGCTGCAGTACCGCTCGACTAAGCGATAGTGCGCTGGCGGGTCTCTATCGCGGACACGGCGGTGACAAAGGCGATAAGGGTGAGGTCATCTAGGTGCTAACTAAGAAAGTGGTCGCGGGCAGTGGCAAGGCGGTCAGGGAGGCGTGTGATAATGAGGTAAAGGGTAGCGCAAAGCGGCGGCGGGAAAGCAGTGAGCTGTGCCTCACTGCTAGAAGCGCGGTAGCTAGTCTCAAGTGCGCGAAGATGAGTGGCAAGGTCAGCGACAGTGGGGAAGGAAGTAAGATCAGGGAATAGCATGGGAAGGATCAGGCGGCCGACAGAGGCGGAGGAGGGAGTGGAATAGCGCAGAATGACCGCACCTAAGTCTTCCTTCGCATTGGCTACAGCGGTAAAGCGGGGACGCTCAGACCGGGGGGGGCATGACTAATAGCAAGTTGTGCGACTGCGTCGCGCGACTCCCAAACAGCGCGGGCAAGCTCAGCAGTGGCAAAGGCTTCACGCTCAGCAAATTTGGGGGCAGCAGGGATTGGAGCTTACTGTCGACATGGACAGTCAGGGAATGGCAGTCCTGGCGCTGACCTGTCAGCTGGCGGCGGAGGTCGACGAGCCACACCTCAAAATCAACCGCCCGACCCTCCGCGTCCAGGCGGAGCACAGAGTCCGCCATCACCATGGTTGCAGCAACTAACTACCGCTGGAGGGGGAGGAGAGCGGCAAAGAGGGGTGGAGAGCGGTGGAGAGCGGTGGAGAGCGGTGGAGAGCGGTGGAGCGGTGGAGAGTGGTGGAGTGCGGTGGAGAGCAGTGGAGACAGCCGGCAAACGAGGGTCCGGCGGGCGCGGGGCCAGCTAGCTAGGGGCCGGCGAGCAGGGGGCCGGCAAGCGCGGGGCCAGCGAGCGCGGGGCTGGCGAGCGCGGGGCTGGCGAGCGCGGGGCCGGCAGGTGCGAGGCCAGCGAGCGCGGGGCTGGTGGGCGCGGGGCTAGCAAGTGAGGGGCCGGCAAACTCGGGGCCAGCGGGCGCGGCGCTGGCGAGCGCGGGGCCAGCGGGCACGGGGCTAGCTAGCGAGGGGCCGGCGAACGTGGGGCCAGCGAGCGCTGGGCCCGCGTGCAGGGGCCGACGCGCGGGGACGGAAAGCGAGGGCCGGCTGGCAGCGGGCCGGTGACGAGAGAGGGCCAACGCGCTAGGGCCAGCGAGCTAGGGTCGACGGACTCGGGGCTACGGGCGGCCAGCGGCTACAGGCGGCTGGCGGCTACACGCGGCTGGCGGCTACGGGCGGCACGTGGCGGCGGGCAGCCAGCGGCGGTGAGTGGCGAACGGCTAGCGGCGGCGGCTAGCGACGGGCGGCTCGCGACGGGCAGCTAGCAACGGGCGGCTAGCGACGGGCGGCTAGGACTAGGGCTAGGACTGGGGCGGAAGCGCGGGTGGGCGGGCAGGACCTAACCTAGCGTGATACCATCTGAGAGTTACGAATTAGCTAGAATGTGAGATACAGTGTGGTTTTGCTGAGGGGTTGTACTCTCTAAGCGTATGCACCTATCTAGCCTATAGCAACATATCCACACATGTTTGACAAATACTACATCTGTAGGTACTAATTGTGCGTGTCATAGATGTGCCTGCCATCCCTTTGCCTGGTAAAGCTTTCTGTACATAGTGGATCTTGTATAACCTGCACTTGTGTTACACGATATGTACGATTAGACAGTGACAGAATGTGTGGTGCGGTACCAGGAGCTGGCTGCACAGAACTATGGAGATATAATAACAAAAGAATCATAAACATGTCCGGTCAGATGGGTGGGCACCACATGTACCCTCCGCGAGCACATAAAAAGAACGTGCAGGGGAAGGTGCAGCCCAGCTATACAATGCTGCACCTCACCTCGGCCTGAATGGGCTCATCACTGCTGCTGCTGCCCTTGCTGCTGCCGCCGCTGCTGCTCGTCTCCCAGCCCAACTCCCTCGGTTGAGGCATGAAGCCAGTCTAGCAGGCTCGAGTGTGTGTGTGTGTGTGTGTGTGTGTGTGTGTGTGTGTGCGTGCGTGTGTGTGTGTGTATGTGTGTGTGTGCGTGTGTGTGTGTGTGTGTGTGTGCATGCAATGTGAACATGTATGCAAGCACTTCTGCTGCGAGCTTGCATCCCTGATACAATTGCTCACATTTTCTTTCCCTCTCTTGCCTTGCCGCCACCTTCACCCCCTCCCCTCTCTCCCCCTCGCTCCCTCTCACTCACTGCATACTTCACTTCCCTCGCACTATTCCAGAATAAGCCGCACATCCACACCACCGCTCTCCTCTCGTTTACTCAAGCCTGTCCCCCCGTTCCGCTGCGCCAACCCACCTGCCTCCCCTTCATCTGTTACTCTACTGCTGCGCTCACTACCTCTCCCTGCCATCGTCCCTGCCAGCCTCTCACTCCCTCCCACACCCCCACCCCCTTGCCCCACCTCCCCTGCCTCAACATCATCTAACCCCGTCCCAACCAAACCCCCTCTATCCCCTTCTCCCGATCTCCTCCTGCCCAGTTCCCCTCCTCCGCCTCCTCTTCTGCTTCCTCCCACACTCCCCTCTTCCACCCCATTCTCCCCTGGCGATTCTAGCGAAATCATAAACCCCCTAGCAGTGTCAAAATGGTAGAGCATAACGACGAGCAGCAGCGAGGAGAGCAGCATGGGGATGGGGCCAAAGAGCCAGAGCAGGAGCGGGAACGCGCAATACAAGGCGCGGGTGCCGATGGTGTAGAAATTGCTGCCACGCGCCAGCACTGCTGCCACATAGTCTGGAGATAGGCCCTGGGCTTGCGGGCCCATGGGGATGTTGATGAGGAAGTTGACATGGTTGGTGTAGCGTATGGACTGCAGGGGAGACGGAAAAGGTGAGGAGGGGAGGAAATGGGAGGAAATGAGAGGAGGGATGAGGTTTGTGAAGGCGGAGAGGGCGACCTTGGAAAGCAAACGCTCGAGGGTTTGCAAAGACGAGGATTCAGGTGAAAAGAATGGAGTGTGCTTGGGGAAAGGATGCAAGGGGTCTTTCAACAAAGCCAACAGGGCAAAGGTCGTAACAGTGCAACAAGCAGTCACCTGGACGTGGCAGACGAAGGCGAAGAGGAAGCAGAGGAAGATGGAAATAAACTTGACAGCCACGACAGCAGGCTCTCTGGATCCCAGCGTCACAGCGAACACGGACGCCTTGACGTCCGCTGTGGCGGCAGAAGTGATGAAGGCGGCGATGCCGGACGAGAGGATGATGGCCGTGGTGGCCAGCAGCGTGGACGCCATGATGTGATTGCGCAGCGTCTGCACCGCCAGGATGCTCTTCTTGTCCACGTCCTGGAAGGAGGGAAGAGGAGAGAGGAGAGAGCAGAGAGGACGGGCGGCGGAACGGGCATTGGGTGCGAGGAAAGAGGACGGGTCCTTGGTCCATTCTAGAGATGTGATTACAAAGAGTTGCAATTGAGAGGATTTCAGGGCCAGCGCGGCCTGGTAGTAGTGTTCTTCCCATCTCCCTGTATCTGGAGAGAGCAAGGGGTCGGTGGATGGGTCAGGAAAGATAGCCAGTGCTGTGCATGTGTTTTGAGAGGCACGTGGAGGCGTGCATACCAGAACCATCCGTACGTACTGACCACAGCTCCTACCTTCATAATACTGTACACCCATGCTCGCCGGTTCAGATGATTCACGCCGATTACAGTCTTCATGGGGTTCTGTTGAACTCGCAAGTATAGCACCACGTTGTAGAGAAGCAGAACCGCCAGGCCGACCGGAACTAGAACCACGTCTAGGATGAGCTCGGGTGGTGGCGACGACATGATGCTGAATTCTCTCCGAAGCGAAAGCTCTAGTAACTTCGGTTTGAACGCGGAAGCTCTGAATTTCCTCCGGATTCAAGCCCTCCAGTTTGATTATCGCTAGAGCCGCAAAAGTGAGCCGTGTTCTGGTATAGCTCGTGAATTTAGAAGACCCTGCTTCGTCTTGCTGATAAGATGCTCGAGAACTTGCTGCTTGCTTGCTGATAGATGGTTCACAAAATAGAGATGACCTGGTGAAGAACGACGCCGGAACAACACTCGCAAGGATGCTCCACCTTGATGCCGCTCAGCAAGGACACTGTTCTCGAGAGGATTCCTGAGTTACCCGAGCCGACATTCGCGATTACAGACATCTCGCAGAAACGATATCTACTAGGCCGCTGCAAACCAACGAGAGTTTTCGCCGAACCGCCACCTTCCAGCAAGGAGACCGGTCCCACCCACCCAAGCTGTTGGCAGTTTCGCGACAAGCTTCCTCAGCTCCCAAGCTGGTGGCTCTGAGGAAATCCACATACGTTATACACTCGTTCTAGTTCTCTCCGTTTCTGGCCCGAAGTTCTTAATTGAATAAGTACCACCAATTATCAGGTCCTTACATGAAATTGCATAGGCTATATACCCACAGCGCAAGCAAGCACAACGCCTTATCAAGAAATAGGGGCAATGCCGTTTATGCACAAAGGGGAAGGATATGCTGGTGCTACCAGCACTCCACCCATCCGCTGCTTCAATATCAAGCAGCTCAGCAGGCCATGAATACAGCATCCCTAATGTGAACCCAACCCAACCCACACAAATACAAACATAAAATCCCAATTACCTTCAGGACGGCTTAGCCACAGCCAAAGCACTAGATAAGCATAGCGAGCAGAGAGGGGAGGGGGGAAGAGAGAGCACAATGCACAGGCCTCAGTCAGGTGACAGCTGCATAATGGCCCCAGCTTCAGCAGCACCAATAAGGACCCAACCCAGCTTCACTCGGACTCCCACACACAGCAACCATGCCCGATGGTCCCTCTACCTGTCATGCATCCCACCCTTTTCTCGTGCTGATCCACCCATTTGCAGTGGCAACACGAAGGCTTCCCATTATTGTTACAATCACTACCACAGCAGCATCAGAACTCCTTATGGGCTCATCAGCCAGCCAAACGACTTCACGACTTGCCATCTGTATGAACTCCAGGGTACGTCGCAGCAGCAGCAGCACTCCGTGCAGCTGCGGCTGCAGCGGCAGTGGCGGCATCGGTGCCTGCATTGATCGGGTGGAATGCCGATACATGATGGAAGGCAGCAGGAGCTCCAGTTGGGTGGAACGCATGCTGCTGACCCGTATGCTGCTGAAATGCTTGAGCAGACGTCACCGATGCACCAGGAAAGTTGCCAACACCACCAAAGGGATAGAAGCCCATTGCTCCTGCAAAGCCTAGGTCAAATCCGGCCAGCTGCTGCTGCTGCTGCTGTTGCTGCTGTGACTGCTGTTGTTGCTGCTGAGCTGCTTGCTGCTGCTGGGCTGCTTGCTGCTGCTGCTGCTGCAGTTGAATCTGCTGCTGGTGCTGCTGCAGGCTGTTCATCATAAACTGCTGTGCTGCTGCGTCTTGAGCAGCCATGCCTGCAGCATCAGTGGCAGTGTTCCCTCCCGTTGCAGACGCATTTGCTGCTGCACTGGCAGCACTGCTGTCCAAGAGCTGGTAACCACTGCTGTTGACACCTCCGGCAGCAGTACCAGAAGGCCGAGAAAGTTCCTCGTTGCTCGTTCCCGTTCCAGGAGAATCGCTTATATCGTCGCTGCTTCCTGACACATCTTGCTTGTCGTTTCCACTGTCGTTTGCTTGCGGCACAGATACGCGTTTCTGTGATGAAGCAGGTGGGCGTCTAGAGCGTTTCGGTTTTTTCTTGCCCTCGTCTTTCCCAGCCGAGTTCTGATCGTCGCCTGACTCGCCATTCTCTTTCCTCGCCAGTTCTTCCAGCTGTTTCGTGTTCAGGAAGCGACCACCGCAGCCACGTGCGCGCCTCAATGCATGCTGGTGCCGTGACTCGTGAAGATAAGGCTGCTCAATAACGGGGAAACAAAAACGAAAAAAGAGAGAATATCACGAAAATAAGTAAACCTCGAGAGCACAAAAAAAAAAAAAAAAAAAAAAAAAGAAGAAGAAGAAGAAGAGAAGCTCCCATACCCGTCGCCCCCCCAAACCCCCTCAGTCCTCAACCCCTCCCCCAACTCTTTCCCCCACACATGCATGCACGCAAGCTACAGATGCTTCCAGGATGTAACCGACCTTGCGCGCTTTAACGAGTCTATTCTCCGCCTCTGCTTTAGCACGCGCCTGACGGCGGCGCAGAATGCCATGATATTGCTTGGCGTTGACGTACACAGGCTCCTCCTCCACGATCTCAGACGGCAGTGCCATGCGCGCTTGCTGCTGCATCCCTAGCAAATGCGGTGCCATCTGAAAGGACGGCAAAGGGGAACACGGAAAATAAAGTACGAAAGTCAGGGATTGGAAAAATCATGACAGGACATACAAATCTTAAAAAACGGATCTGGCTCCCAGAAAGGCGGAATAAGATGAAAGGACGGAACAGGAAAAAACAAACGAAATTACTCCAGGATGAAACGACCACTATATTACCAAAGCCTGAGAGCCGAAGGTGACTATGTTTCCATAATACGGGTCCGTTGTCGCATAAGGATAAGCAACGTGTTGGGCAGCCTGAAAAGGAGAAAAAATATCGCAAACGATGACCCAGCACACCAGCCCGTCCTCCCCAAACCCGCATCACGCACCCAATGCACATGCCAGGACGGACAAACGGAAACAAAAATCCCATTAGTGTTGGACGAAATCGTACAGGATAGCTCACACACAAGAAACCAGAGGGGGGTCCCACAGATCACAAATGAGAAACAGTTCGCGAGGGCAAAAAGGGAAGAAAACATAGGCCTCGAAGACGCATATGGCCTGAGAAGGACATACGAGAGCGGCTGAACCGAGGTCGACGGAGACATGCGGTATAGTAATGTATTCTGTGTGCCCGCCTGGCATTGCGGAACCGGCTGCTGCCGCCGCTGCCGCTGCTGCCGCTGCGGCTGCAATATTCTGCTGGTTTTGGTGATCTTCATGTGCCGCTGCAGCCATGACAGCCCCTGCAAAACATGCGAGAGTTTCGGAAAGGGAAGGGAAGACACGAGCGAGAGAAAGAGTGAACAACGTCTACAAAGAAGAACGAAGGCGACGGAAAATATTTAAGAACCCGAGAAAATGTTGAACAATAAAATGAGCTGGGAGAAAAATACAGAGGCTGGATATCAGCAAAGTAACAAAGCTCCGAAAAAAAAGAGAGGAATAATAACATCAGCATAGCCGCGAAAAGCCAGGGCACACGACGCTAATGGAACATCAACTTCTTACCTGGATGTGTGGCCATCGATGGGCGGCGTTAATCGGCCTATTTTGTTAGTGTTAACAAGTCGTAGGCCAAGGACCGCGTCGCACAGTGCTGGCGACACTACTAAAAAGGCAAAGAACGAGACAACAGGATAACCTGCCATAAAACGGGAAGGACAAGGTTCAGTCTATGACCCCTGAAATCGGACGACATTAAGAAAAATATCGACCGGATAGGGAACATTCCACGTCAGAGCTAGCCACTACTGCGTCAGAACGAGGATAAGTCATGGCAGCCATAGCTTCTAAGGGGCGCTACCTGAAGGTAAGAGGTGCAGGCTGGAGCAGGCAGAGCGAGGCGAGGGGAGCGGAGCGGAGGAGAGCAGAGAGAGGTGGAGCAAACCCTAGGAAGCGCCGAGCGTTGTTTGATTGGTTGTAGACCCACACGTTGTATACACACCGAATGGCTGCGAGCCAGCTGCTGGGGGGGCCCAGAGATGATGGGAAAACTGGTCACGCGTGCTTACGACGAGTGTGACAGTGGGGTACAGTTCGTGATGCTTCGAGACGATTGGACGAGGCAATGCTGCAAACCCCAATGCATGGAACCTGTTTGAATACACTGCTGTAGTGGAGCGTATTTTTCTTTGCAGGCTTATGTGTGAAGACTTGGGAAAACATCATTTAGAGCTCCATTATTGTCATGTTGACACCTTTCACTAGACCAGGTTTTAGAAAGAACATTAATCAAAATCAATTTCGCAAATTGGCAGCATCTTGTGTCGTGAACCTTGTGTTGTATACATATCATGCCACCATCCACATCACCTATCATTCCAGAACTCTCACTCCTTCCTATCACCTGGTTTTAGATCTCACTTATTATTTCTTTGCAGCAACTAATTTCTGTCGCTTTGCTCCACCTGCCCCGGCTCCTAAGGACTCACGCTTCGTCCCAACTCCACCCCCTACTTTGGTTACCTTCAACGTTCCCTCCACTTGCTGCATTTGCCTGACTGAATCCAACACCGAACCTTCCGCCACCTTTCCAGCCACGGCCCCACCAGCTGCTGCTTCTCCAGCCGCAGGTTTCTTCCCAAATGGATTACACGGCTTCGCGTTTGCAGCTGGTGTTGCTGCCCCGCCTGCACCACTTGCACCTGCCTCCTCGCCTCTAACACCACCACTGTCTGTGGCAGTGCCTTTGGCAGCTGATTCAGGGCTGGAGCAATCGACCACAGGATTCGCTACCACGTGCTTTTGACCAGCTGCTGTTCCTTTCTGGTTTGTTCCTGAGCCCTTCTTGACGAACATGGGGGCCAATGCAGATGGACTCTTTTGTGTGGGGGGAGCCAGGTCAGGACAGGAGGGTTCCTTTTGATGCGGCTCCTTTGCATGTTGTCGTGGTTGCAGCTGCTGTGGCTGGGAACGGCTGGCATTGATTGGTGGGTCGGGAAAAACTCGTGTCTGCATAGAACGTTGTTGTTGCTGTTGCTGCTGCTGCTCCTTGCGCTGCTGCAGCCTCTGCTCATCTTCATCGGCCCGCAAGCGCTCCTGACAAGATACAAAAAACCATGCAATAGACAATCAACAAACCCATGTTTTGTGCTATCCCATGTGGGGAGCTCACTGTCTGTCCCCTGTCACCCTCAGCAGATTAGAACCAGCCCTGCTGCCACACTCCCTCCCATTCCCCCCTGCTGCAACCCAGCAGCAGCACACTCAGACCATCCCCTTTCACTGCTCTCCCTCACCTGCAGCAGCGAGTGCAGGCGCTCAGCGAGCACAGGCAGGCGCAGCGCGGACGTGAGCTTGACAGCCCCCTGGAGGCTCTTCCTAAGGGACAGCATGGTGCCCAGCTCCATGGCCCGCTCCAGCTTGTCGCCTGAAAAAAAAAAGCAGGAAGGGGGGTGCAGCGAGGGGAGGCGGGGGAGCACACAAGGCAAGAGGAAATTGGAAGAGGGAATCTAGAGATTTATGGACTGGAGTGAAGGTGGAAAACTGGAGGTGTAGTGGAGGTGGGACGAGTAAGCGATTGAGATAGGGCAGGTGGGAGGGAGGGATGAGTTGGGCATAGCAGGAGCGGCAGGTACTACCTTTAGCAGCGGCGACGAGCAGGCGCAGCAGAGTCTTGTCCCTCTCGGCCTCCAGCCTCAGCAGCTCCTCCTCGTCCTCTGCTGCTGCCATCGCCCCCTGCTCGCCCATCTGCAAAGCCTCGTCTGCCACCGCCCGCACCTGGGGGGAAGGAAACAAGGCCCAACAGGGGGCCGAGGGGGCGGTTGGCCGGTGGGGGGGAAGGGGGGAGGGGGGGGGGGGGGGGACGGGAGGGGGTTGTCTGTGCCAACTGCATTGGGTGGACTGAGGAGAGGGAGAAAAAGCGAGACGATGCAAAGCTTTGTGCACCCCACTGCTGCAAACACCTGCCCCACCCCTCCCCTGTTGTTCTCCTCTGCCCACTGAGGACTGAAGTTCACGTCTTAAGTCAACGCAATAACCAGCTCAAGCCCACTCACATGGGCCGTGGCGAGCGCTGAGCGCAGGAGGTCGGCCTGGAGGGAGTCGGCTGCTGCGAGGTCGGAGAGGGCGAGAGGCAGCACGAGAGGCATCTCCGATAGCACCGGGCGAGGAAAGACCTGTGCATGGGTGGTGGGGCGGAGAGGGGGTTGGGAACACACAAACCCGCACACATACACACATACCCACGCACATGCACACACACACATATACACATGTAAGCACACACACGAACATGCACATACACACGCACACACATGCACACCCATAAAATGGGGCAATGTAAAAAGACTATTGAGGGGAAGAGAGTCGGAAGTACGACGATCCAGTTCAATCTGTCTCGTATAAGCAAAGCCAAACGCCGCACAATCCTACACAGAACCACCAGAACAAAGCCCGAAGAGCAAGCTCCCAACAACAGCACCCTCCCACAATCAGCATTCCAGGGTCCGTACGGAGGGCTGGGGGTTGGCATTGGTGCAGACGATGAAGAAGATGGCCTGCTCGCGGAGGTCCAGACCCACCATCCACAGCCGGTGCGACTCACTCGTCGCCGATGCACTCGCACTGCCAGGGCAGTTTGGACGGGGGAGAGGGAGTAGAAGTTGCTGCCTTGCGCTGCCTTGCAGCAGGGCTCACGTCCTCTCAAGGTGGCTTCTCTCAGGGGCAGTGTGCTGCATGAGACACAGTGGTGCATGCAGATGTGTACAAGGACTCCAGTTTCACGCACCTGAATATGGGCATCCAGCAGCCGCCAAAGTCTGGAGAGAGAATGCGCACCACCCCCTGGAGCATTGACAGGGGGAGGAGAGGACGAGGGGAGGATGGAGATGAGGCCATGGGGAGTGCACAAATGGGAGCAACGGAGCAACGAAGGGAGAGCAGGAAAGCAAGGAGCGCACGAGCAAGGCCGGCTGCCATTCCCACCACCAAGCCCTACCCAGCTGCCACTCAGTGCCTCACGTTGAGTATCTCACCTGGGAGTCATAGGTGGCGACAGTGGGCACGGTGGTGTGGAGCGGTGCAGAGGGGTCGGAGGAGATGCTGGAGAAGCCCAGCCAGGCGAGAGAGGCGCAGGGGGAGAGGGCGATGGGCGTGCGCAGACGGAGACAGGAGGAATGCATGTCCAGGAGGAGAAGGTGCATGGCCTGGGAGAAAGGGGGCAGAGAGGGGAGGAGTGCGTGTGTGAGGGAGGGGAGAAAGGGGAAAGGAACACAAGAGTCGCGATGGAGAAACAAGAAAATCAGAGAAAGGGGAGCTTTGAGGAGTCAAAAAGAGGCAACAACGAGGAGCAGACATGAGCACATGCACACACATACCCCCCCCCCCCAACACCCTTCTGCCACCCACCACACACACACGCCCCTACATCCACCCACCTGGTGCCCATCCGGGTGCGGCCCCGCAGCATGGAAGGCGACTGCGAGGAATGCGCCCTGGCCGGCCATGGCGACGACGGGGCCGTCCAGCGACACGATGGCGCGCTGCAGCCCCGTGTCCGAGAACACGCGCAAATAGTGCCTCGACGTTGCTGCCGCCACCCACTTGCGCCCCACGGAAATGGCTGTCACCTCCTCCCCTGCTGGCAGCCGCACAGACCACTGGGGGAGGGCGGGGCGGGGGGGGAGGTGAGAGGGATGTGCGCGGGGGGGGGAAAGGGGGGGTGACGTGATTGATGTGATCGACGTGATTGACGTGATTGACGTGATTGACGCGATTGGTGGTCAGATATGCATGGACAGGCAGAGGGGAGAGACTGAAGACGAGAATGAGTGGGAGGCGGGAGACAGAAGGGCAACCGGAGGGACAGGAGAGGTCGACAGCAGTGGCAAGGCCAGTTGAAGGAGCAGCAGCTGTAGCACGATTCTCTCCTGGCGATTGGCAAACTGAGAGCAGAAGAAGAGACTAAAGAGGGGTGCAAGTGGGGAGAGAAGAAAGTGTACGTCGGAGGAGGGGGCCCAGGAGGTGAAAGGGCGGAAGAGGACGGTGGAGGGCTGCTTGGAACGCGCAGGCGAGGCGAGGGCGTACCCCCTCTTCCCCAGCACCCCCATGGTGCACCCGTAGTAGTCCGTCAGCGCTGGCACACGTGTCACTGCTGCTGACGTGTCATGGAAGTCCACCTGGCGGCGAGACATGGAACACGAGATGGAGCAGAGGACAGGCGAGTGAGAAAGACACCAAGATACAGCAAGTCGAAAGCTCTTACAAAGCAGAAAGCAACGCCCAGTGCAACACCTCCCTCCCAAGATCACAGGCTTTACCACATCAAATCCATAATTACTGGCCAGCCCTGCCCAGACCATCTCCGCCCTGCCCACTGACCTCCACGTGCGAGTGGTAACCCGCCCCATCATGTCATACGCCAGGCATTGCTGCCTAAATAGGCACCAGAGTGGATGCAGCCCATGGGCGCCTAGCTCACCTCCACATGGGCAGTATCGCTCTCAGCATCCATGCGAGTCGTGACCCGCCCCACCAGGTCATACGCCAGGTACCGCAGCCGCGCCCCCCCTGGCCCCTCCACGCCCTCCTCCCCCTCTGCGCTGCTGCCGCCCGCTGCTGCTGTGAGGGTCGTTGAGCCAGGTTGAAAGGGCGGCTGGAGCGGAGAGGGAGGGGGGGTGGGGGGAGGGGGATGGAAGGGAAGGGAAGGGGAAGGGGATACATGGAGATGGCGTAGGCGCGTTTGCATAGGAGCAATACAGAACTGACAGCGAAGGTACTCCTCAGGCAGGGACACACCTGCATGAAGACCACAGGAGCAGCCACAACAGTGCTTCCCCTCCTCTCCCCACGCCTCACGTCCCCTTTTCCCCCACTCCCCTCTCTCACGTCTCTCTTCGCCCCCGCTCTCTTCTCCTCCTCCTTCTCCCCATCCCACCCGCCCACTTCATCCTCCCTGTCGCTCCCATCCTCCACCACATGCCGCGCCCCTCCCCCTCCTCTCCTCCTCCCCCCATAAGCCCTAAACCCCCCCTCACTTTCCTCCTCCCCGTCTGATTCCGCTCCCCCGTCCCCCTCCCCCTCCCCGCCCCTGCCCCCCCGTTTGCCCCTCCCCCTGCGCCCCTCGTCATTCCCAAGGTCGTCCTCCCACACCTCCTGCTCCCCCCCGCTGCCTTCCCCGCCCCCCTGCCCCCTGCTGTCCGCCCTTCCGCTGCCGCCACCTGCCGCACCAGGAGCATCCTCGAAGCGAAACAGTTCCTCCCGAGAACGGCGGGCTAGTAGGGGGGAGATAGTGGGGGAGGGCGCAAGGGGATCAGGGAAAAGGAAAGAAAACATAAAAGGGTAAGGGGAGAGAGAGAGACAGGTACGACGACTGATTGCGATAGCCAAAAGAAGGCACATTATTGCAGTTTCTGAAACGAGCCTTGAGAATCTGCGGCCATAAGCCATACGCCATACGCCATAAGCCATACGCCATACGCCATAAGCCATACGCCATACGCCATAAGCCATACGCCATACGCCATACGCCATACGCCATACGCCACGAGCCACATGTCACATTCTCTCCCCTCATGCAATTCTTTCCCCTCTCCCTACCCCCTTACGCGCTGGCTGCATTCCCCAAATTCCGGATTCCTTTCCGCCCAGTGTCCCCACTTTCCGCCCAGTGTCCCCACTTTCCGCCCAGTGTCCCCACTTTCCGCCCAGTGTCCCCACTTTCCGCCCAGTGTCCCCACTTTCCGCCCAGTGTCCCCACTTTCCGCCTCCCCCCTTCCCTCACCCTCTTTCTGCTGCTCGATGCCGGCCCCTCCCCACTGCGGCGCCGCGTTCGGCGCGGGCATGTGGGGCGGCACCGGACCGTGCCACACGCCGCAGCAGCCGGCGCAATCAATGGCGGCGATCGCGTTATCCGCGGGGCTCCACTGCAGGCCCGTGATTGGCGCGCCGGCATCGACGCGGCACACGTCGAGGTCGAACGCGCCGTCTGCCGCCTCCACATCCCACACCGCTACCGTGCCGTCTGCCGCGCCGGCTGAGGCTAAGTAACGGCCGCTGGGGCACCAGGCGAGAACGGCTACACGCGACTTGTGAACGCCCTGGAGGAAGGCGTTGATGGTCGGAGATAGAGGGGAGGAGGGGAAGGGGGCCGAGAGCAGGAGTAGCGGAGGGAGAGCGTTAGCGGGGAGAGTAGTGAGTTTGGCAGGGGAGGGGCCGAACGGAACGAGGGACGCGGGGATGGCGAGACGAAGGGAACGACCCGCGGTTTTCGGGTGTGCGCAGCGCACGCACCTTGAGAGTGAGCATGACGTCAGCCGTGTCGCGGTCGTAGCAGACCACGTCGCTGTCTGTTCCGGGAGTGGCGAGCAGGCTGCCGTCCGGGTGCCACGCCACGCCGCTCCGCCCCGCCACCGCCGCCGCCGCGCCGTCCGCCTCCTCCTCCGCCGCCACCGCGTCGATCACGGGGGACACGCCGCGCAGAGTGTGCAGAGGCTGATGGGGGAGAGGTGGAGAGGGAGGAGATGGGGGAGAGGGGGGAGAGGGAGTGGAGAGAGACGGGAACAGTTCACGTGAATGGTCAAGGGGTAGACTATAGCGTAGATGGGAAACTGAGTGGGGATAAGTACCTTGCGTGCACCTCGATGTGCAGCATGCTTACCTTGAAGTGAGTGAGCGCACCTTAGCGGTGGAAATGCTCCAGATGATGACCGTTCCGTCGGCGTCGCACGACGCGAGCAGCTCGTTCTTCGGGTCGAACGCCACGCTCAGCACGGGCGCGTCGTGGCCCTGGCGCGAGATGAAGGTGCAGAATACGGCGGGCGACGCAGAGAGAGAATTAGAGGGGGACAAGGGCGGGTAGTCAAGGGAAAAGACGTAAGATACGAGCAAGGTTCGGAAGGAGGGATCGCAAGCAGGGATGGAGTGCCTCTATAGTAACAAGCCGAGTAGGTGGCGATGCTTCAAGCAAGGGGCGCACAATTCGAAGGAATCTCGCACCTTGAGCACGGAGACGATGGAGGAATCGACGGTGGAGATGACTTTGATGCCCTCGTCGTCGCCCGCCGCCGCGAGCAGGCCGCCCGAGATGTTGAAGGCGAGCGCGCGGATGGGCAGCGTGAAGCGTGTCACGTTGCTCTCGAACCGCGCAGCTGCAGAAGACACGCGGAGAGACAAGTACACGGAAAGACATGATGCGGGGATGCCAAAAAAAGTCGAAACATGACTTGCTGCGACAGGTTGGAAGCTGGGCAAGAACTACACTTTTACGTAAGTGATTGTTTGCTAAGCAACATCGGCGTCAGCCGCATTTCACCCACCAGGATAAGAGTGCAGCTTCACTGTGTGGTCCTCCGCGGCCGTCGCGAACTTATCCCCCATGGGGCTCATCGCGAGCGTCGTCATCGGCCCCTTGTGCTCCACGCGCACCGTCCGCGGGTCGCCCAGGCTCGGCGCGCCGTCGCCGGACGACGACGCGGACGGCTTGACGGGAAACAGCTTCACCTGGTTGTCGGCGCCGGCTGTTAGGATGTTCCGGCCGTCAAGGTCGAAGAGGATGCTGCATAGGCCCGGCTCGTGCGCCGCGACGGCGAGGAATGACTTGGATTTGCGTTTTAGGAGGGACGCCCCTCCGCCGTGATCGTCGCGCATGGCTGCTGATCGTCAGGGAAGCGGTAGCTCAACAGAGGAATGTGTGGAAGAACAGCGAGCAGGAACGTGGAAGATATTCTAATGGTAGCGTGAACGCACGCCAAGCCCTACGGCTCTCGAGACTCAATCACCAAGTGGTGGTATTTGGAAAAGAGCTGAGGGAAATGGGCGAGGCTGCTGGTTGTGGCGTGAACAAGAAGCTGTGAGGTGATAGGACCAGACGAATTGTGGGCTCCACCGCTCCCTTTTTGAACAGCCCGGCGGGCGGGAGGAGCTCCTCGGGAGTTGGTCGGGCGGCTTCTGCTGTGTCCGCTTTTGAATTTCAAAAGTTGGCTTTCGAATTGTCTGCGCTATACGCTTCTCCGTTTTCCGTTTCCGCCTAGGGGCGTGTCAACCCAATCATAACGTCTAAGTAAATAAGCTTATGCAACATGTAAAATGTACGATTAAGTATACCGCAAGCATTATGGATCATTGTCTCATCAAGAATAACATCGGGAGGGGACAAAACGCCAACAATTCAAAGTGGATTGGTCTACTACAACACAAACGACTAGATAAACCAGTACACCACAGCCCATGGAGTTCTCACTGAGAGAAGCTCCAGTATACATACGTGGTCCATACCAGCCACGACGCCATTTCAAAATAGCCCCACCACAAAAACTGGTGATTACTAGTACGGTCATTGCTTGGTGCTGCCGACTCCATAAACCAAGTGTCCCTATATGGGTATGGAACGCCAACTGGGCCTCAAGCAGGCTCAAGTGTATCACTTGCCGCAACATCTGGACAAGCAGCACCACCAACATTACCACAAGATTCAGTCGGCATGTGTGAAGAAGGGGTAGTAGCAACCATGGGATACGGCACAGAAGCAGTGCAAGAGGTGGGTTGTGGGCGTGGCAAGGTGGAGTTGCAGCGCTGCTGAATGGTCCACACAATGCTGGCAGCTGCTTGGGTGAGCGGGTGAAGGGCGTCCAGCAGAGTCGTGGAGTACGCTCCAGGGCGGTTTGCTACTGCATACATGCCGACGATATTCGAGCCTGGAAGGTGTTTTGGGGAGGGACATGGGCAGTCTTCATTTGAATGCTGCCTGTACCGTACAAAATGGAGATTTGGCGAGAGATATGGATTTCAACAGAATGCGGAACACCGCTGCACTGAAAGGTGAGTACAGGATGGTGAGGCATCGTGCATGGGGGGCTGGGGCACGTACCAACCACAGAGGAGCACGTACCAAACACAAAGGAGCACGTACCAAACACAGAGGAGCACGTACCAACAAGCAGGGGCACCCCAAGGAAGCAGTGCACAGGCGCGTGGCCGGGAGGGGTGCCAGAGTAGCGGGGGTCGGAGGGGGGGTGGTTGGAGATGACAGGCTGGCGGGAGGTGACGGGCGCTCCGAAGAGCGTGTGCATGTTGGCGAATACAAGGCCCGACTGGGCGTTCATGGCGTGCCACTTGCGCAGGCCGTCCGTCCAAGCGATGTCGGATATGGCATGCGTCTGTAGAGGTGGGTGGTGATGGGGCGAAAGGAAAGTGGCAGGTGAATGAAGCCAGTATGAGGAGAGGGGGGGAGATAGTGAAGATCGGGATAAACATGTAGGATAATGTAAGCGGAGCAATGAGGTGCTAGTTCCAGGCTTGCACCTGTAAGCAGGGCCCAGCTCACTTTGATGTAAGGCGTGCCATCGCTGTTGTGCAGCACACTGGCAATGAAGCCAAAGGACGAGTCAAGGAGAGAGAGCAGGGCAGACAGCAGGTACTCCCCAACCAGGGAACCGTTAGGGGTCTGGGGTGGGCGAGGCAGCAGAGTTGGGAAGGGGGAGAAGAATGAGGCGGGAAGTCAGCAGGCGGGAGTGTGGAAACTAGGTGTAACGAAAGTGACTTGGGATGAGAAACGGTATGATAAATGGGTATTATGGCATGATGGCGCAGCTATAGACTGAGCACCCATTACTCAATCAATCTTCCATCCACGGCAACCCCCTGCTCCTAGCTGCATGGCATACCGTGTCTCGCAGCAGTGCTGCATAGGCGCCCGATACGTGCTCCAGCAGCCGCTCCTGTGTCACGCTGCCTACTGCCACCCTGCCCTTCTCGACCATACCACCCTCCTCTGCTGCTTTCACGCTGCTACCTTGCCCCGCTGCAGCAGCAGCAGCTGCTGCTGCTACTGCTTCTGCTGCGGCTGCACACCCTCCACTGTGCTTCCGTCCCAGCCTCGCAGGCTGCCTCCTCTGCTGTGTCTGCAAGGTGCCACCATCCGGGGAGCCAGGCAGCGAGGAGGGGGAGGAGCCTAGCAGTCGGAGCGTCTCTGCGAGCACGTCGCTGGCCGCTCTGTGCAGCTGCAGCCGCTCTGCTGATGCCACGCTGCTGCCAGATGGGGCAACAGGGCAGGGTGCTGCCTTGCTGCTGCCCGGAGCAGCAGCAGCAGCAACAGGAGGAGGTGGAGCAGGAGCAGCAGCAGCAACAACGGAGCTTGCAAGGAAGCGGTTTCGCTCTCGAGTCATCTCCACGACACTTAGTGAGCGAGTGCGCTTGGCAGAGAGAGGGAGCGAGGGAAGGGGCGCACGTGCTGCAGCAGGAGGGGAGAAAGGCCACTGAGGCCTTATCCTGGCAGGAGGGGCAGTGTGAGCGGCATGAGATTCGCAGGATCCGTCAGATACATGTGGCTGTGGCGGTATCAACGCCCCATTCGTTGCTGTGCCATGTGCCCGTGGCCCCGCACCCTCTCCCTGTGCCTGTCTGCTGTTGCTAGCTAGTCTGCAAGGCGGCATGTGAATGAAACTCGGAGACGGGGTGCGGGACTGGGAGCTGGTGCGAGCAGTAGCCTGCGAGTGTGTACGCTTATGAGCAAGTGTTACCGCACGCGCTTGTGTGTGGTTACCCTGTGTTGGATGTAACGGCGTATTCGGCTGAGTGGAAGACTGCCTAGGGATTAGTCCTCCTCTCCCCTCGCAAACCCTAAGCTGTAGCCCCCCCATGCCGTCCTTAGATGCTATCCCGGTGCATGTGGTGGGGAGAGGAAGAGTTGGGCAGGGGGGGATACAGCGGGGGAGAGACTCGGTCCTGAGGAGCACAGGAGACGGGGAACGCGGCATCCCCCGGCGCTGCTGCTGCTGCTGCTGCTGCTGCAGGAGAGAGGAGAGGAAGGGCGAGGAGGCGGCTCTGGAGAGCGGTCGAACAGCGGGTGAAGCAGGAGAGGCAGCGGCGGACGGACTCACTCCCCACGTGCACCAATCGTCGCGCGCACGGCTCCTCTCCCCATTCCCAACCCCTCCGCCGCCACCACCACCACCACCACCACTACCTCCACCTGGCGCCTCTCTTTTCCGCCCTCTCCCCCCGCCATCCGCAGCTGCTGTTTCCGCCCCCCTAGCCACCCCGATTCCCCTCTCGCCCGGCCCTCCCATCCCCCTTCTCCCGTCCGTATTCCCATTGCACTCCCATTCCTCCGCCCTCCCGCCCCCCTTCCCTTCTCGTCCCGCCTCTCCCTCCGCCACCCTGGCGGCGGCTGCGCGAGTCGCATCACCAACTTCACCAGATTCAGCGGCACCCGCGGCGGCGGCGGCTGCGGCGGCGATGGCGGCGGCCTCAACGCTGGCGACAGTGCGGAGGAACGCGCGCTCGTTGGCTTTGAACTCACTCTTTAGCGGCTGCGGGGGCAGGGGGAGGGGCAGCGGAACTCCGCCCATGGCGCGCGGAAGGATGCACGTGCGCAGGAATGCGGGGAGCACGCGGCGGGAGGACATCGTGAGGCATGTGCCTGGCGGAAACTCGGGGGAGGGGGGGGAGGGCGGGGGGGAAGAGTCCGCAGGCGAGGACAAGAACAATCCGCCACCGCTAACGCCGCCGCAATTGGCGGCGCTCCCTCCCGTTTCTAGGGTGATCCTACAATCATGAGCCTTAGCGGAAGCGGCGATCGCGGCGGCAGCTAAAGCCGGCGGGAGTTGCGCGGCGGATGCTGGAGGGGGAGGCGCGCCGGTGGCGGGGGACGGCGGGGGCACGGACAGGTACGAGTCGAACTGAGAGCAGCTGGCGGAGCGGGCGAGCGCCGCGCGGGGAAGCGACGGTCGGCGGAAGAGCGCGGGGTCTGCGCCATTTGCGCCTATGGGCCCACCGCCCGCGCCAGCGCCGCTGGCGGTACCTCCAGCGCCCGCCAAGAGCGGCTGCGCGAGCTTTCCGAAGAGGTCCTCCACCTGCCATCCGCTGCTGCCGCTCGCGCTCCGCTCCCCTGCTACCGGTTCCGCTTCCGCGCGTTCCGCCGCCCCCCGCTCCTGCGCCTTCTCCCGCGGAAACACCGCGCTTCCTTGCTCCCCCGACTCGTCATGCCCGCGCGTTTCCGCTGTGAATGCCGACGGCCCTTCCTCCACAGAGTGGCATCGGCGCGCTGCGCTTACGCGCAGACTCTGCTCCTTCCGCCGCCCGCTCCGCGCCTTGCCCTTCCCGCGGCTCTTGCTTCGCCGCAGCTTCACGGGGCTGCTGGCGGAGACGGCGGGTTGCCCAGCGCCGCCGAACGCGGAGTGAAGCGCGCCGATGGAAGCCCAGCGGAGGAGATGCGTGGTGGTGCTGTGGCTGGTGCTGTGGCTCACCGTCGAATCCAGCGAATCCGTGGCGGGAATGACGTCACTCTGCACGCTTATTACCCGCTCCTGCCCGCCCTTCCGCCCGCCTCTTCCGCTGACTCTTCCTCCGCCGGCGCTTCTGCTGAGCTGCTCTGATTCCCCCGCGTTAATCGGCGGCAGGGGGAGCGTCAGCAAGCCGTCATCCTCCGCGCTTGGCGCTCCCCCTTGGCGCAACCAATCTCTCCCCCCGACTCCTTCCCCGCCCTCCTGCCAAATCCTGCCCCCCCGGCTGCCAAACGCCGCATGGGCGGAGGGAGGAGCGGCAGCGTAAGCGGTCGCAGGAGTTTGCGCGAATCCGCTACGACTACTAATGTAGACGTTAATTAATCCCGGAGTAGTAGCCGGTGCGGGCCGCGCGGACGCGGGGGTGGTGCCCCTGGGCGGTGTGGCGGCGGGGGGCGGTGAGGGGACGACGACGAGGGGGGGATGCGGGCGGCGCCTGTGCGCGGTCAGACTGCGGCTGCGGTGAAGGCTCAGGCTGCTCCGCGCTCCCTGCCCCGCAACCCCCGCTGCCGCACCTGCGGCAATCACTCCATTGCCTCCCGCAGCAGCAGAAGCAGCAGCGGCGGCGGCGGTGGCGGTGATGGTGGTCAGATTCCCGCAGTTACCTGCGCCGGCGGCGGCGGCGGCGTCACTGGCGCAAGGGTGCACGGCGGTGCTCAAATCCGCTCCCTCCGCACGCCCCGCAGCAGGCCCCTTCCCCACAGCGTCCGCGGTGGTGGGCGAGGGGAGCGCGCTCGACGACCCCGCGGAAGCGGAGTGCCTGCGCGGAATCGACTCCCGCCGCGTTGACCCGCCAGCCTGCCCGTTGACAAACCTGAGCCCCGCCGCTCCGCTCCTGGCGGGAAGGCTCTCCTGGCGCTCGAGCGACAGTTGCGGAGTTATGGGAATTAAGGAGGAGTCTAGACTGGCCTGGCGGTCCCAGATCGACATGCGCGCGGAGGTGCAGGGGGAGGGGGAGAGGGAATGCGCGCCGGGGGGCGCGGGGAGCGGAGTGAGGGAGGGGGGCGCGGGGAGCGAGCGGAGGAGGTGGAGGAGAGAGGCTACGCGGGGAGTGAAGGTGAAGTCGACGGGACGAGATGCCCCGCATTCGACGCACCTGCGAAGGAGGGCCGGGAAGGCGGAGAGGGAAGGGGGGGAAGGGATGAGAGTTGAAAGGGCAAGGAGAGCCAATGAGAAGGAAGAGAAGATGAGAAGGAAGAGAAGATGAGGGCTGGTAGTAGACAACTAAAGACACTTCCAAACCCAAGCTCGAATCGATGTCAACGTAATGGAAGGCTCGAAAACTATCCGAGGAGCCATGATCCCCGTGATCAAAGCGTAAAAAGAGGCAGCATTTACGGCTTACCGCCATCCGCTCTCCGCCCATTGCTGGAGCGCCGACCAGTCCGCTTCTGTAATCCCCGCCAGGAGCGACAGCACTTGCTCGTCGCGACTAGAGCTCCACAGCCCTTCCCCGGCGTCTACTCGTCTCGGCCCTCCTAACCCGCTCAATGCGGCATTCGCGAATTGCTTGAACGTCCCGTCCCGCACCCCGCCAAGGGCGGCCTTCCCCGCCTCTTCCCGCGGGAAGTTGGCGGAGCTGCGCCGCTCTGTCCGCTCGGCCAGCTCTCCGCCGAGCACCGCTTTCTCCGCGGATCTCGCCGCCTTCCGCGGACCCTCGACTGCGTCGCCTGTGGACGACGAGCGGCCGACGGGGGTGTGCACCCCAGTGGGGGGCGGTTTGCCGTGGTCGACAAGGGTATTCGCGTCACTGGAGGAAAACGAGGGGCGGAAGAGGCGGCGGGCAGTGGAGGAAGGGCGGAGATCGTTAGTGGAGGAGGAGAGGGGGGCTGGTGATTTGGCTGACGCATGGGGGCCGGCTGGGGGTAAGGCGCTGCTGCTGTGGCTGTTGTTGCGGGACCGATGCGCGCGGAGAGAGGGGCTGCGGTGCGGCCGAATCTGAGAAGGAGAATTCCCCATGGATAACGGTGAATGGGCAGCTCTCTACTTAGTCAACTAAAGACGGCTTGTTAGTAGTTGACGCGTGGTCGAATGCGGCTGCCTCGCACGCATCTTCGACCGACGGCAAATTTCAAGGGCTTGAAGTCGAGATCCATACGAAACTGCTTCGTAACACTGGCGTAGTGCCCTAGTAGCGGAATGCGTGACGGATCATTAGAGTTCTACTGGACGTCAGGTCTAGGGCAAGGAGGAGCACCGCTCTGCTGCGCTAGAGCTAACACCTCACTGACAGGCAGATTCGTTGTGAAAGTAAGAGTAAGCCGAATGACGCAGAACATGCGTGGTAAACGTTGAACGTGCAATGGTCAAAACGTCCCTAACTGGTAATGGTCGCTTGTCTGTAATCAGGCGACGAAGCCTGTACTGTTTGTTTCTCGATTCGATCAATCGAGGTCATGGATATGGTCCAGGCTGGGATGGTGGAGCAGATGCTGTGATGTCAAGAGAATCTGTAGGAGGTGAGGCAAAACAGGTCATCATCATGGTCCTTGCGTCGGCGAGGAGATGCCAAGCGCAGCGGCGGCAGACGCATGCAACGACCTGGATGGACCCGACGTGGCTCCCTGACTGGTCTGCTGCTCCCTGCTCGATTTGCCAACTCGTCAAAGCCAACGAGCCGCGGAATGTTCGAATTTCTCCTCACCGCGCCGGGCGGAGGGAGGGGAACGCAAAGCAGGAGAAATGAGGGAATTGATGAGGGAGGCGAGAGAGGTGATCGTTGAGCATTTTCGAAACTGTCGCGAGCGACAGAATCGAGGTGGAAGGAGCGTCGCGCTCGCGAGCAGTCGACGGATTGGGGTTGGATGGTTCAGATTTCCCTGGCGCATGAAGGCGCGTCAGTCGAAGGTGGGGTGCTTTTTCTGTGTGATCCGTTTGCTTCGTATTAAAAAGCTTGGTTACAGTTCCCCGGCTAGACAGCAAACCTTAACAAAACAATTCGGATCGGACCCTCTTACAAAACTATGCATCATGCTCACATAATGAGTACTTCAGGAGTGCTTTGAAACTACTTCAGAGTTCCACTGTCATTCCACTGATGCACGGGTGCTCTTACAGAACTCCAAGTTTTAATTTTGTAACCACACATGACTGATTCTTGGCTTGGAGCACCATGGGTTACAATGTCAAACATGTGTATCTCCTATGTTTGCATAGACTGTATAGGGCCACCTCTAAGAGGGTACAACACTTAGGTATATTCACCTGTACTCTCTCTCTACTCCATTATTATTCACTTCTCACTTTGAGATGGTATCACGCATAGGTTAGGATCCCCCACCTACCGCTTCCGCCCCTACCCTAGCTAGGCCCCCTCGCGCCCCTCCTAGCCCAGTCGCGCCCCTACTGGGCCCTGCCGCGCCTCCTAGCCCAGTCGCGCCCCTCCTGGGCCCCGTCGCGCCTCCTAGCCCAGTCGCGCCCCTCCTGGGCCCCGTCGCGCCTCCTAGCCCAGTCGCGCCCCTCCTGGGCCCCGTCGCGCCTTCTAGCCCAGTCGCGCCCCTCCTGGGCCCCGTCGCGTCCCCCCTAGCCCCGTCGCGCCCCGCCTGGCCCCGTCGCAACTGCCTGGCCCTGTCGCGACCGCCTGGCCCCATCGCGCCCTGCCTAGCCCCGTTGCGCCCCTCCTGGGCCTCGTCGCGCCCTGCCTGGCCCCGCCGCGCCTGCTTGGCCGCGCCGCGCCTGCCTGGCGCCCGTCCCAGCCGGCTCCGCGTCCGCCCTCACGCCCTCCGCGCCCGTCTGCTCAGCCCCTGCGCCCGTCCCAGCCGGCCCCGCGCCCGTCCCGTCGGCCTGGTGCCCATTACTTCTGGCCCCCGCGCCCGTCCTGCACCGAGCTGTGTGCGGCCCGCCCGTCGTCCCTGCCCCGGCCCTGCATCCTCCCTGGTACTGTTCCTCATCACCTGCACCGCACTGCACCGCCTTGCACAGCCCTGCACCGCACTGCACTGCACGGTACTGCCCTGCACCGCACTGCACCGCCCTGCACCTCACTGCACCGCACTGCACCGCCCTGCACCGCGCTGCACCGCACTGCACCGCACTGCACCGCGCCGCACCGCACTGCACCGCGCTGCGCGGCACTGCACCGCCCTGCACCGCACTGCACCGCGCTGCACAGTCCTGCACTGCTCCTGATGGCGGCGGAGCTTCGCTTCGACGCTGAAGGCCAGCCTCTAGAGTTCGAGGCGTGGCTCGCCGACCTCCGTCGCCACCTCACTGGTCATCGGCAGGCTGGCCACCCGCTTTCCGCACACCTTGACGGTTCGCTCCCCTGCCCAGACCCCCCTGCTGTTCTGCCCGCTGATCCCACACCCGCTGAGCGCGAGTCTACTGCAGCCACTGCCCTTGCGCGCTCTGTCTGGCTTTCCCGAGACGCTGTCGCTCAGCTTGCCATTAGCAATGCCCTTCCCCCGTCTGAGCGCCCTCGCTTTAGGTCAATCACTACCACCCAGGCTTACTTAGATGCTGTCATCAAGCGCTATTCCACCCCTCCTGCTGCCTCGGTGGGTCGCCTGATCCTCCCGATGCTCTTTCCCGACCTTGCGTCTTTCCCCACTGTCTCTGACCTAGCTGCCCACCTGTGCTCGATAGATGAGACCTGGTGCGCTGTCTGCACTGACACACAGCTTAGAGCCCACCAGCCGCCCATTACCTCTACCCTCTACCTGCTTGCCACCCGCCTCCCTGACCGCCTTGCCGCCGCCCGCGACCGCTTCCTTAGCATCCACCCCGGTGAGCTCACCCTCCCCGACTTTGTAGACACCCTGGCTGTTATCGAGACCTGCCACCGCTCCATTGCCCAGGCGAGCGGTACCGTACCGGTCCCTATCTTTGCGGGTTGTGCCCCCGCTCAGTGTACCTTCTCCGACGGTTCTGTCGCTGTGGCTGAGACTGCTGCAACAGCGCAGCTTCGTTCGGGGAAGGGCCGCCGCCCCAAGGCTGGGCGCGGCGGAGGAGGCGGGGGTGCAGGAGGGGGTGGTAGTGGAGTCGGGTCGTCTGGTGCTGGAGCGGACGAGGGGACCCTGCCTGGTCCAGCGGAGCCGCCGCCTCTGCAGTCGCAGCAGCAGCAGCAGCAGCCGCACCAGCCGCAGTAGTCGCAGCAGCCGCAGCAGTCCCCGCAGACGAGGCAGACAGGTGTCCTCCCGCCCGGGTGGCCCGGCACTGGAGGTGGTCGGGCGCGTGGTGGTGTGCCGAGTGGTGGTTCGGGAGGCGTGCGTTGTCAGTACCAGATCCAGACCGGTCCTCGCCGCGGCTTCGTTTGCGGTAAGATCGGTCATACCACTCCCCGCTGTTTTCGTCGCCTGGACGACCTGTTTCGTCAGCGCTTCGGCCCTTTGCCAGACCTCCCAGACTGGCACAGTTTGCTTAGTCATAGGATTCAGATTTTTGACATGGACATGGATGCCATTGTTTCTTCTCTGCATGTGATGTATGCTGATGACTCTAGTGCGCTCCCCACTTATTACTCCCTGTCGTCTAGTGTAGGTGTGCCTAGCTTAGCCTCCCCTGCTGCGTCAGGCGTAGGATCCCCTGCTTTGTGTAGCCTTGGTGCTTCCGCCGTCGCCCCGTCGCCGGACGCCACTGCTTCGCTTTCCTTCACCTTGGACTCTGGCGCTTCCCGGTGCTTCTTCCGCGACTCTACTACACTGACGCCGCTTCCTGCTCCTGCTGCCGTTTCTCTTGCTGACCCCTCCGCGGTCCGGTAGTCGCCCGCAGTTCCACCACCCTTCCCTGTCTGGCGGTTCCCTCGGGCTCTCTTACAGGTCTGCATATCCCCTCGTTCTCCAGGAACCTAGTTGGTGTCGGCTGCCTCCAGGACCTTGGCGTCACCACTACGTTCCCTGGCCACGAGCGGTATGCTGTCTGTACCGAGGCCGCCACTGGTGCCCCCCTGTCTAAGTTCCCCCGGGACCCGGTGTCCGGCCTGTTCACTCTGGACACCGTGACCCCCCCGGCTGGGGCACCCCCTCAGGTGGCTGCGTCTTCCCAGGTTGCTGCTGCCTGCTCCTATCGGTCCCTCACTCACCCGACTCTCCTGTGGCACCACTGCCTAGGTCACCCTGCGCTCCCGCGTCTGCGTCACATGTCCCAGCACGGTCTCGTCCTTGGTCTCCCTGGTTCTCTCCCCGCTTTTCCCTCCTCCCCAGCCCCACCTTGCACGCCTTGCATCGAGGGTCGGCTTCACCATTCCCCTCACTCCTCCTCGCTTCCCCCTACCACCGCGCCGCTGCAGAGCCTGCACATGGACGTCTGGGGCCCCGCCCCCGTCCATGGGCCGCGTCGAGAGCGCTACTTCCTTGTGCTTGTCGACGACTTCAATCGCTACACCTCGGTCTTTCCCCTGGAGCGGAAGGCCGACGTGCCTGACGCTCTCATCTCCTAGCTTGTCTCTGCCTGTGTCCACCGAGGTCTCCCTGTCTTGCGCCTTCACTCCGACCGAGGTGGCGAGTTTGCCTCAGGTGTCCTTGGTCGCTTTTGTCGTGCGGAGGGCATCACCCAGACGTTCACCCTACCGGACTCCCCACAGCAGAATGGGGTCGCTGAGCGACGCATCGGTTTGGTCATGGAGGTGGCTCGCACCTCCATGATCCATGCCGGTGCACCCCATTTTCTGTGGCCGTTCACTGTGCGCTACGCTTCTCACCAGCTTAACCTGAGGCCGCACCCCTAGCAGCCGCAGGTTTCGCCGACCCGTCTTTGGACTGGGTCTCCTGGTGACGCGTCTGCGTTCCACGTCTGGGGCTGCCTTGCTCACGTCCGTGCCTCCGGCACGGACAAGCTCACTGCCCGCACCCTTCCCTGCGTCTTCCTCGGTTTTCCTCTTGACGCGTCCGACTGGCACTTCTACCACCCGCCGTCTCACCGCTTCTTTCACTCTCGCGACGTCACCTTTGACGAGTCCGTCTCCTACTACTGTCGCTTCCCCCACCACGGTCCCCCAGTTACCCCCCCCCCCAGTTCCTGGTCACTCCTTCCCCGGTAGTCCCTGCCCCCCCCCCTCCTCCTCCCCGTCCTGCCCCCTCTTGTGTGTCCCACGTCACCCCTCTTCCGTCGGTGGTCCCGGTTGAGGAGTCTTCGGACTCTGGTGGTCCTGCGGCGCAGTCCTCGCCGGCTGCCCCTCCCCAGGCGTCCCCTCCTCCACCGCCTCTGCCGCCGCTGTCGCCCCTGCTGTCGCAGCCGTAATCGCCGCCGCCGCCGTTGTCGCCGCCGCCGCCGCCGTCGTTGTCGCTGCCGCCGCCGTCGCTGCCGTCGCAGCACCTGTTCG